GGATGAATGAACTAGGCAGCAGGGTGATACAAATATGAAACCCTAGCAATGTTGTACTCTCTAAGGCTAAACCCACTATAGCCTACACAATATAAACATGTATAATGTTTGACAGGGGACGCAGACAACAGAAGGTCCCGCACAGGCTTCATTTTCAAGCTTGAGCCTGCAGGAACAATCTCCTGGAACTCACAGAAGCAGGAGCTCATCGCCCTCCTCTCGTCATCAGAAGCAGAATTCATCGCAGCAAGTGCAGCAATTTGCGAAGGACTCTACCTCATGGAGCTCCTACAGGAAACGAAGACGGCGATGAACGGGTCCTTCAAGTTACTCTGCGACAACCAGAGTGCGATCAAAATCGCAAACAAGCCGGGCTTCGTCAACCGCACGAAACACATCGCCCTGCGTTACTTCTTCGTCAAGGACGAAATCGACAAGGGGGAGGTCCAGCTCACCTACTGCCCGACTGGCGAGATGACAGCTGATTTTCTGACGAAGAAACTGCCACGTCAGAAGTTCCAGTACTGCTCGGACCTGTGCGGAGTCGTCCGAAAGAGCCACGTGGCGCACCTCCAGGAATGAAGGGGGGTGTTGGAGTATGAAGGGAATCGAGTCTAAGCATTCCCGTAGGTGCAACTGTATTGCACCCATCATTATCGAAGCAGCGCTAGCAGCAGTATCGGATCAGCCCGTATCAAGGGCAGGAAGGTCAACAGTCGCAAGAGTCAACTGTCGCGACTGTTGACCATCTGGATCGACGATTGACTTACCATCGAGGAATGGCAACAGGCGTAACCGTGCGTACGGTTACACGCAGCGACTCGGTAACAAGAAGAAGTGCAAAAGTCAGAGTCACTGTAGAATTGCATGTAAAGCAGTTATAATAAGGGAAGGTACCCCTCATAGTACATGGCTAGTTAAATCTATTTATTGTGTGTAATTTTATGTGTTAATCAACTTTGTCATCTACATTCACTATGATGAGTTCCTACAACAAGACTTCCGCTACCAAACTCTTCTAAGGCATTCCTACTCGGTCCAAGATCCTTACTCTAATAGCCTTGTTACAATCGCGCTGGCGAGACCTTTCAGCTTCGGCAAGGGCGCGGTATCCTGCCGCGGCCGCAGGTCAGTTTCGCGTACTGTAGGCGCTGCCTCCTGCCCAATTCGACCCTTCAGCTACCACGCGGGTCGCAACTGCTGTACGCAGTTGCGCCCCTGTAGCTCGATACTTGAGTCAACACCCTCGCTATGGCGAGGTTTGTTAGCACAGTTTGAAAGTGTACTTTAATATAAAAACACACAATCATATTCGCAACACTAAGGGTACATACCTGCCTGGACATTTGTGTCTCGAGCGTTTGTGAGGCGTAAAAACAACATATAACGTACAATGTCACAAACGCGTGTCGCCCTTGTGCGACCATTACTGTATTTTTTATTGGTCGGCGTGAAACGCGCTGACGTCGCGGACGAGTTGCATATTGACTCGTCACTGTCAAAAAGTCGCACGCGGTTCGAAATGTCAATGCACCTGGACACCCCACAATGCCAATCTCGCGCGGGAAAAAAATCCGCTCGTCGAAACCCCACCTTAGCCAGGCGGTTGAAGAAACAGGTATACAGTCATGTTTGAAATCCAATCAGATGCGCACAGCTGTAACTTTCGCCTGGTCGCCCAGTTTCGAGATACATTCATTTTTTGTGATGCGGGATTGACAAAATGTTTCGACGAGACTCGGGAAAGAGGGGATTGAGACACAAATGTCCAGGCAGGAATGTACCCTAACAACCCTGTAAAATCAGTGTTTCACACCAGACGACACTGAAAATCAGTGTTACCCTCCTAGGGACACTGAGGGAACATTCCTGTGGGGACACTTGTGTCTCAATCCCCATTTTCCCGAGTCGCGCCTGTAAATTTACCCAATGTCGCGTCACAAACATCGAATGTACTGCGACGTAGGGCGACAGATTGGCAGTTACAGTTGGACACTTTTCATTGGCTGCGATCAAAGAGAAATGTACAGTTGTGTGCATTTGACTGAGTGACAGTACACCCGTTTTTTCAACCTCCGGGCAGGGGCGTGGTTTCGATGCGCGGGATTCCCAAAAACCAATCTGAGGCCCTGGTGTGGCCTAAATCGTTCCACTGACATGTCAGTGATAAAATAGGCCCTGGTGCCAGAGCGTGGGAGGGTGCGATTTTTAGAGTTTAGTACCTACCGGTACTTGAGGGTTTCGAACTACAATCAAGGAGATCATATCATACTGATGGGGACTGTTTGGCACCAAACCAGTTCTGCCAGCTAGGACAAATAAGGGCTTGTTGTATGGGTGCAACGGTTGCAACCTTGTTGGATGACATGTACCCGGATGGCTGTCAGCTCAATAAGCTAGGTACTGCAAGTGCCATTCAAATAAACCAAGTGCTACTCTGCCCGCCATGTCATTGGCACAACTGCCATTGGCCAGGACACGTTTGAGCGTGCATGCAGAGCTACCGCTGTGAGGGCACAGCAAGGGGTGGGGGGGGCGGGCGCAGCATGTGTTCGGCGTCGGTGTGGCGGCCGGCCTCGTGCAGGATGCGCGCCACCAGGCAGCGCGTCACGTGGTCGGGCTCACACCCGCCCTGCCGCATGTGCTCCAGCGCACGCAGGGCCGCGCCGGGCAGGCCGGCCTTGGAGAGGGCGTGGATGAGCGTGTTGTACGTGACGGCGTCGGGGCGCAGCCCGTGCGCCTGCAGGCGCCGGAAGAGCTGCGCGGCGGGCAGGGAGAGGCCCTGCAGCCCGTAGGCCGCCATGAGGATGTTGAACGCCTGCAGGTCCGCCTCACACCCCGCACTCAGCATCCCCTCAAACACCCGTGCCGCCTCCTCCCACATGCCCTGCCTGCAAGCACACCAGCCATATACACACATGCCAGATAGGTACAGCGTTAAGTGAGGCCCATCAGCGCACTGGCAAAGGGGGGGGGGTACAGAGCTGCCATAGAGAGGCCAGTCATGGGTGCGGCACGGCACGCACCTGCCGTAGGCCATGACGACAGCAGAGTACGCGATGGCGTTGGGCTGCACGCCGTGCCGCACCTGCATCGCCTGCAGCTCCTCCTCCGCCTGCTCCGCCTCCCCCGCCTCCGCCAGCGCCCTCAGCAGCGCCCCGCACGCCGCCACGTCAGCAGTGAGGCCCGCCTGCAGCATGGCGTCAAAGGCGGCGGCGGCGTCTGCAGGGCGGCCGGCGGCTGTGAGGGCCGCCATGAGCGCCGTGAACATGGCCTGTGAGGGCCGCACCCCCGCTGCCCCCGCCCTCTCGTACGTCTGCCCCGATGCAGGCAGTATGAAGGGGTGGTGGGGCCAGGGGAGAAGGGCATGGGTAGGGGGGTTAGATCAAGTGAAAGTGAGCGAGGGACAAGGTGAAGGCGGTTGAGAGCAACGGGTATGGGTGCATGGTGGCAGGTGAAGCAGCAGTGCCTCCGTGCTCTTCCTCCCTGCCAGCAGCACTGGCCCCTCCCTTCACCACCCACACAAGCTACGGTTGCACGCACACCAGTGCACAAGCAGCGCCGCGAGCATGAGGCGGAGCATGGGCTGGGCGCGTGGGGTGTGGGCGCGTGGGGTGTGGGCGCGTGGGGTGTGGGCGCGTGGGGTGTGGGCGCGTGGGGTGTGGGCGCGTTGGGTGTGGGCGCGTGGGGTGTGGGTGCGTGGGGTGTGGGCGCGTTGGGTGTGGGCGCGTTGGGTGTGGGCGCTAGGCATGGCAGCCAAGAGCGTACCCGGATGGCTCGTGGGGTGTGGGCGCGTTGGGTGTGGGCGCTAGGCATGGCAGCCAAGAGCGTACCCGGATGGCTCGTGGGGTGTGGGCGCGGCTGGTGTGAGTGGCGTCGTGGGTTGTGAATGAGCAGCGTGGGGAGTGAGCAGGTGCGGTGTGAGTGCTGGGCATGGCATGGCGTCTGCATACCCGGATGGCGTCGTCAGGGCGGTCCGCGCGCGTGTACATGGTCATCACCGCGCTCACTGTGTGCGCATCCGCCTCCACCCCCTCCCTCCTCATCTCCGCCACCACCCCCTCCGCCTGCCCCACACCACACCACACCACACCGCAGCGCACCACACACGTAACAGCGTGAGCAGGCAAGGAAGAGCCAGCAGGAACGCAAGCACGAGGGATGAGGGGTGGTGAGGGGCAAGGGCGTGGGGGGGAGGGAGAGGGGTGCGAAGAGCAAGGGCGCGGCGAGGGAAGCGAGTGAGTGAAACGAGCAAGGGGCGGCCGTCTGGGCGACGAGGCTCACCTGGGCGACGAGGCTCACCTGCGCGACGAGGCTCACCTGGGCGACGAGGCTCACCTGGGCGACGAGGCTCACCTGGGCGACGAGGCTCACCTGGGCGACGAGGCTCACCTGGGCGACGAGGCTCACCTGGCCGACGAGGCTCACCTGGGCGACGAGGCTCAGCTGGGCGACGAGGCTCACCTGGGCGACGAGGCTCACCTGGGCGACGAGGCTCACCTGGGCGACGAGGCTCACCTGGGCGACGAGGCTCACCTGGGCGACGAGGCTCACCTGGGCGACGAGGCTCACCTGCGCGACGAGGCTCACCTGGGCGACGAGGCTCACCTGGGCGACGAGGCTCACCTGGGCGACGAGGCTCACCTGGGCGACGAGGCTCACCTGCGCGACGAGGCTCACCTGGGCGACGAGGCTCACCTGCGCGACGAGGCTCACCTGGGCGACGAGGCTCACCTGCGCGACGAGGCTCACCTGGGCGACGAGGCTCACCTGGGCGACGAGGCTCACCTGGGCGACGAGGCTCACCTGGGCGACGAGGCTCACCTGCGCGACGAGGCTCACCTGGGCGACGAGGCTCACCTGGGCGACGAGGCTCACCTGGGCGACGAGGCTCACCTGGGCGACGAGGCTCACCTGGGCGACGAGGCTCACCTGGGCGACGAGGCTCACCTGGGCGACGAGGCTCAGCTGGGCGACGAGGCTCACCTGGGCGACGAGGCTCACCTGGGCGACGAGGCTCACCTGGGCGACGAGGCTCACCTGGGCGACGAGGCTCACCTGGGCGACGAGCCCGTGGTGGCCGAGCAGCGCGACGAGGATGTTGAACGTGCGCGCCGTGGGGCGCACGCCGCTCGCCTTCATCTCGCCGTACAGCGCCAGCGCCTGCCGACCGCCGCTGCTGACGCTTCCGCCGCTGCTGGCCCCTCCCCCCCTGCTGCCTGCGCCTTTGCCTCTCCCCCGCCCCTTGGCCCTCCCCCTACCCGCCGTGCCAGCGCCCGCCAGCCCCGCGCTCAGCATCGTGTTGTACGTCACCGCGTCCGGCGCCGGCGGCGGACCCCAGCTCGCCACACCGGGCCCATCGCCGTCGCCGTCGCCGCGGCCGTCGCTGCGCGCAGCAGGCGCTTGCGACGGCTGCGACGAGTGGTCGGGGGTGGCGCGGGCGGCGGATGGGGCAGAGGACGAGTGGGAAGTGGGAGGGACGGGAGGCGGGGACGCATCTGACGCGACGTGGGTGGGGAGCTTGCGGGGTGAGGAGTCGAGGGGACCGGCGGTGGGGACGGACGCGCTGGCACCGCCATTGGCGGCCAATTCTTGTTGCTGCTGCTGCTGCTGTTGCTGCTGCTGCTGCTGCATGAGGTGGAAGAGCGTCCAGGCGCGTTGCGGGTGGCCGTGCGAGAGCCAGGCGTGCAGCATGGCGTTGAAGCCGTGCACCTTGTCGCGGAACGCCGCCGCGCGGAACCGCGCGAACAGCACCTCCGCCTCCTCCACCATGCCCGCCCTGTCGCCCCGCACGCGCCCAAGGGGAAAGCGGGTGGGGGGAAGTGCGGGAGAGGAGGAAAGGGAAGGAGTGCGTGGGCGGGCGGGGGGAGACGAGTGATGACGATACGCCATGCGCGTACACGCGTCAAGGGTCCTTTTCAAGCACGTTCGCATCACACTTTCACTGCTCCGCGATTGCCTTTCAGCAGCGTCAGTCTCCCATTGAGATCTACGCGCGTTCAGCACTTCGGTTCATTCCTTCACAAGACGCGCGCGTGATGCTGCCCACGTCTGCCTTTAACCAGCAACCCCGCATTCCGCAAGACCGCGCAACTCACCTGCGTGCGGTGTGCCCCGCGGAGGTTTCATGCCCGCAGCTCCATCACCGGCGATAGCGAGAGCTCCGCGTGGTATACCGCCGCCCTACCACTACGCGGAGGCCAGTGCCCGCCAACCGCGCCACCGCCATCGCTTTCCTCGCGCGACCACACGGTTGCTCACGGCGTACTGAGCAGATCTGTGACGTGGAAGCGGTGCGACGCGGGCGTACCTGCCGAGGATGCCGAGCATGAGCGTGTACGTGTGCCCGTTGGGCCGCATCCGCCCGCGCTGCGCGTCCATCCACTCGAACACCTCCAGCGACCGCCGCGCCTTGCGCTGCGCGCCGAGCTCCTTCACGACGCTCGACATCTCCACGCGCGTCGCGCGCCCCGCCCACGCGTCCAGCACGGCCGCCACGCTCCGCCCCTCCGGCACGCGCGCCACCTCCTCCACGATCCGCCGCTCCCTCTCGCGCACCTGCTCCGCCGTCCACGCCGCCTGCCGCGGCGTCTGCCGGCTCTTCCGCTTCGTCCACCGCGCCCGCTGATCTAACCTGCTCGACGCGCCGCTTGAATCGTGCGAGAGAGGCGCGACGCCGTTGGGGGGAGGTAAGTGAGCGGCTCCATTCGCCGGCAAGGAGTGGTGCGCCTCGCGCATGCCGCCGGCGGCGGGAGTTCCAAGAGTGGCCACTATGGCGCGAGAGTCCGTCTTGCAGACCGCCGCAAGGGACGACGACGGCCGCGGCAGAACCACGCGAGGGTGAGCCACCGATTTAGAGCTCACGTGCAGCGCTCGCGATGCGCACGCGGCAGCGTCGTCCGGCGCTGCCTGCTCATGGACGCGCGCGTCGACGAGCCGCGCGTCGCGCACGTCGCACGGCACCGCCTTGTCCACCTGCGCGCTCAGCTTCCGCGAAAACACCGCCGTCAGCACGGCGATGCGAGCAGTCGCCATCGCGCTCGGCTAGACGAAAATGCTTCCGACGCTTGACTCGATCGTCGCCCCGATGAATAACTAAGGAAGGAAGGAATATCGAAGTGACGGAGAATATCCAGGGAATCAAAGGTGTCTCAGTCTGACAGGGACAAGAGAGCAGAGAAATGGGGAGAACGGGGAAAGGGAGGAAGGAAAGGAAGTGTCTCCTCTCCACGTAACCAACTGATCCCCATGGAGCGGAGAAATCATGGATGGCATAACCGCGGGACGCGCCGCACAGCACTTCGGCCACTGGCACAAATGGGCTAACGTTCGTCGATAGTCAGTCCAGCGTGGATTGATCGGACGATCGAACGGCGATCAGCAGGTAGGGAATAACACGTCATCCGCTACAGAAACCCTGTCCACTAAGCTTCAGAGGCTGTGAGAAGCTTACCTATCCCCGGCTGAAAGACATCCATGTTCTGATATTAGCATAGCTGTCAATCAATACCTTAGATTCAAGAGGAACCTTCGATACATTGCTCCAACTGTGGGAAATATAATTGCTACCGTAGTTTTTCTATCTCTATGGAGGTACACAAAAACACTAGCCAGGTCTTCATATGTAAGAGTTCTCTGGCGCCCCTATTTTACTCTGTCGATACATAGTGCCAGTAATGATAACCAGCTGTGGCATACTGAGTGTGGCTACTGAATATTGTGGACGTATGATAACTTGTCAACTTGCTTGCCATGGGTTGACAACAGGTGCAATGATTGCACCTGTGTCAACTTGTCAAGTCAAGCACCTGTTCTCTAGGTAATTAGGTGGCATGAATGCACCAACCCAACCCCTGTATATTGGCACTTCAAACATAAAAGGCACTCCTACAGTGAACACTGGAACATTGGCGACCAAGGCTTCCATTGCATCAAGGGATCGGGTGAAACAAAACAAGCACCCATGAGGGAGAGCACTGGCCATGCGGCACAGCAGAGCCATTTCAGAGGCAGCGGTGACTTCAGGCCTCCTCCACAACGTTGCCCTTCTCGCTCACGTAGATGCCATCCAGGAACTTCCGAATGTCCTTCTTCTTCACGTGGCACACCTGCACCCGGGGGGAGCACCGCAGCAACAACACAACAGCCCAAGTGGTTTGACCTCTCAGACTCAGGACAACCAATTGAAAGTCATTGTTTCCCGCATGCCACACCTGAGGGAGGAGGAGAGCAAGTGGCAGCAAGCGGTCAGTGAATCTGCGAATCGATTTTCTACAAGAGCTTTCGGCTGCCCTTGGTTGTTCGTGTGCGCACCAGTGAGAAAGGCCGGCATCAAGTGGTACAGATTCACCAAACCAGGAATCCTGACAGGGACCCCTACTTCCACGCCCTGACTAATGGGGGATCCGAATGGCAAGACTCGACAACAAGGAGAATCGGCAGAGCGATGGAACCACGAAGGCTCTACCCATTTCAAAACAAAACGCGGCGTGCTTGTGTGAAATGGGACTGGTGATGGTTCGCAGCCAGGTACGGGTGACAGTCCGCTCTGAGTCGTGGCGATTCAGCAATCTGGAACCCTCCCGTGCACTCGAAGGATGGGGTGGTGAGAGGTGGATGGCAGTGCATGAAACCCTAACCGCTGATAGCGGCGACAGGAGGAGCGAGTTGCAAGCGCATCCTGTAGACAGGCAAAGGCGTTCTGCACGCCTTTCCCTGTCGCATCGCCGCGCCCCATGAGATGGTGCGGGAGGGACGAAGGGTGGTGCTGGTTGACCAGGGAGAATGCGGCCACACGGGGCTGGCATAGTCGATGCGCGCGACACAACGGAGCGACGGAGAGGGCTGAACTGCTTGATGCGCGCTGGGAGGCGGGGAGGGCTGACCTGGTTGATGCGCGCGGGGAGGGCTGACCTGGTTGATGCGCGCGCGGAGGGCTGACCTGGTTGATGAGCGCGCGGAGGGCTGACCTGGTTGATGAGCGCGCGGAGGGCTGACCTGGTTGATGAGCGCGCGAAGGGCTGACCTGGTTGATGAGCGCGCGGAGGGCTGACCTGGTTGATGAGCGCGGCGGAGGGCTGACCTGGTTGATGAGCGCGGCGGAGCGGGAGACGAGCTCGATGTCGTTGCCCTCGAGGATGAGCTCGTCCTTCACCTTCTCCGACCGCGTTATCGTCACGCCCTCCAGCATCGCCACCTTGCGCACCTGCCAGCACCCGGGGGAGCGGGAGGGGGGACGGGGGACAGGGGAGGAGAGGAGGGACGGGGGAAAAAGAGACGGTAAGAACAAGAGGGGTGAGGGGATAAGAGAACCGTCAGCACAAGTGCGCACCCAACAGCAGGCGACAACCGCCTAGAGCACCTGACGCGCATCGTTTGCACCTTGCGCCCCTCCGGAGATTGCGCGAGTGACGGGGAAGGTGGAGGTGGAGGTGGAGGTGAGGGGGAAGGGGAGGGGGAGGGGAGGTTAACTGGAGGGGGAGGGGGAGGAGCGGGGGAGGGGAGGGGGAGGAAGGCGAACGTAGAGGGTTTCAAAGACCTGTTGAGACGCCGAATCCCGTAGGGTCCTTCACCTCGGCCCAAAAACGCCTCAATCTGAGACCAGGCAGCGCACATCCACGAGGCGAATTATCAACACTAATGCGGATAAAATCGGGGTTGCGGCCCTGCGGAGCCTGGGAGGATGGATGGAGGCACGCAGCTGCACCATCGCCTTGCCGCTGCGCACGTGGAGTTCAGTCAGCCCAGCCTCGCACCATGCAGCTCCGCGTCTTAAACCGCGCCTTAAACCGCGTGTTAAATCCCCAGCCATGCACAGTATCGCCTTCCCGTCACACTAAAGACTGCGTCCGAGACTTTACCACTACAAGCTCCGTCAACACACTAAAAGCTCCACCACAAGCCGCGTCACTACAGACTGCACTGGCTCGAGCTAACTCCTCAACTCCTGCTACCATTTCAAAAATTGCCGTTCCCTCGCGTGGCAGCCCCTCAAACCAGCCCGAACACCTGCGCGTTCTCAGGCCTGCTTTCTCCCAAGCCTGACTATTCTCGCCTTACCCAGGCCCACCGTCGCACCGATACATCCATTCCGCTCCGCATTCGTCCAAGAAACACATCGCGCAATAGATCGAGTTTACCTTCGTCCACTAAAGTTAGGTCTGCTAAAGCTACATCGTCCTTCGCCGGCCGCCGTTGCAAAGCATCCCGCGTGCCCGATTGCTGCGAAAATCGTCACACTCTCCACCGGCGCGCGGCTTTTGCGAACCAAGCAGCTTCGTTCCCGATTGAGGCGCGACGCATAAGACCTGACCTTGCCACCTAGCTACAGCGCGACGTCCCTGAAGCTCACACCGCCACACGCCGCGCGACCAGGAAAAACAGCACCTGTTTGCCTCTTTTTAGAAGAATCTAGGGGAAAAGCGGTTCTTCGGAAAGCGATGCTTGGAGTGCCTGTGCGCGAGTCAGAATGCTTCGCCCAGTTCGTCAGCTGCATGGCGCGGTGCCCCATAGACGACGATCGGAACTCCCCGGCACTGCTGTGCCCATCTAAGGTGACGGGGGGGGCATTGATGAATCTCTCTCGGCGAGCTGGCGGGGAAGGGCACAATCGAAAGCCCGGTTGGTCTCTAAACGATACGACTGACGCCTGCGAGGGCTGTTCCGAGAAGAACCCGCGGCTAGCAATGCGGCAGCACACCGTCACTAGCTCCCTGACCCGCACTGATCGAACTAGGTCTTTCGATCCAAAGCAAGATGAGGAGTATTTATCGCTGACAGGGCGCGCGCGCAAAGAATCACTGTGGGGACGGAGAGGCGGGAGCTTATGTCAAAGGCGCGCAAGAGCGCAGAAAAGGTATCGCTACTGGAAAATGGCATGCGGGTGAACATGTGAGAGAAGAGTAAACAGGGGGAAGCGCGTGCCGACGGAACATGGACTTCCAGAATCCATTAAGCTTCTTTTCCCGCCAATTGCACGTCGCTCTTTGAGGCTCCCGTTTTCCCGCACATGTTAACCCGCCCGCGGCTCACCTTCTTCTCGCCCAGGAAGTTTCGGATCTCAATGTTGTCGGCGGAGCTGCTGATGCTCGAGTTGATGGGGAAATGAGCGTACACCAGGCGCATCTTGTACTTAAAGCCCACCGTCACGCCCTTGATCAGATTCTGCACGTGGCTGATGGCCGTTCTAATCGACGCCATCGTCTTGCGCGTGCCGAACCACGCATCGACCTTAAGCTTCGTCCCCTCCTCGACGATTTGGAAATCGAGGTTCAGGTGACGGAAGTCCCTAAACAGCTTGCCACGTGGCCCAGTCACGCGGACCTTCTTCGCCTTAATCTCCAGCTTCACGTCCTTAGGAATGTCCATCGTCTCGGACGCTAGGATCGTCTTCATGCTGACGTAAGCCCTGAGGGCGCTCCGAGACTAAGTGTGGAATTAGCGGAAGGGGGGAGGGAAAAGGAGGCTGATTAGGGAAAGGGGAGACTAAAGAGCAGGGAGAAGGCTTTCAGGGCGTGCAGCGCAGGGGGAAAGGCGACGGGATCAAGGGAGGAAGGCCCAATGGTGTGCAGCTCCGAAATGGGACGGGCGCAGGCAGAGCGGAACGGCTGGGGGGGAAAGATTGATAGTAGGCTGGTGGTAAGCCACGAAACACTCGACAGTTACGGAAACCCTGAATTGCACTTACAGCACGAATGATTTCATAATAGGCCAATAAGAAGGTTAGCTTCAGTACCATATTCCAACATCCTTAACTTCACTGGAACATGGATTCACTAGGACACATTTGTACGCCCCACATGCGAGCATGATCCATCTATGTTGGCATCAATGTTAGTACCGTAGCATACATCCATATCTACTGGGTACTGTGCCCAAGATCTACTTATTACTGACACTCTCAACAGTCAAAAAGTTATACACTACCTATATGCGTTTTAGGAAGTTATCCAGGTTGTACTCCTCTGCGTACTGCGACTCATCCCAGAGATCTTCCAAGCCAGTAAGCACAGCTTTCAGTCCCTTCCCTCCTCCAGCTGCTGCCACAGCTGCATCTGAAGATGAGTCTGCTGGTTTCTGCTGGGCCAAGAACACGGTCACAGGAAGGGCAAGGTGGGAACATGATATTCAGCACACTACTTGTTTTGGCATGTCAGTAAAGAGCAAAATAGCAGCAACGTGCAGCAAGCCAAGCTTTCAGACACCGCTCACTGTGCCCGACCCAACGACCATGATGCACCACCACAAAGGCATCTACTGGACCAATGCTATCAATGCCACTTACCTTAGCACCAGCACTGGCAGCAGGAGGGCCAGCGTTAAAGAGGTCTAAGAGCTGCGACGTGTCCATCGATTTGAGGCTGGCGTTGTCAGCATTGACCACTGCGTTGGCTATGGAGAGCTTGAAGCGCTGCAGCCCCATGACCTTCTCCTCCAGCGTGCCCGCCATGATCACTCTGTGCACGTTCACCGTCCGCCTCTGGCCCAGGCGATGGGCTCGATCCATGGCCTGGAGGGAGTGGAAAGAGAAAGGGGAAGAGGGAGATGGAGCAGAGAAAGGAAGAGGATGATGTGTGTGAACACAGGCCACATGTTCTTGCATATCGAGGGTGCATGCATCGTCACCACCATATGTGGAACAAACGCAATGAAATAAGTTCTAACTGTGTTTACACCACTGTGTCTGCTGCAGGTGACGCCATCATCTTATTTAACAGATGAGTTGTTTGTTTCCAACATCTACTCTGATCAGATTTGTGATAGCAAGGCGGTTACCATCACGTACCTGAAGATCCCGCATTGGGTTCCAGTCATGCTCCAAGAACACCACTGTGTCCGCTGCTGTTAGGTTCAGCCCCAAGCCACCGACTGTAAGGGGGGGAAATGAACGAATGAATGAGAGCAGAGGAAAGAAGCGCGTGACGAGGGATTCCGTGGAGAGTGAAGAGGGAGAGGGGGAAAGAACAGCACTTGAGGGTCGAGTGACAGAGGGGGCAATGACAACTGTTCGTCAAGAAGGGTATGACGTATTCTGTTATCAAGTGGCACATTTCAATAGCATCCACCACATGCTGCTATTGGGCGAGAATAAAAGAAAGGAACTGATGCAAGAGAGTAACAGATCAATGCTCCTGGTGGACTTGACATCAGAAACATGCCTCGCTACTTCCAGAAATTACTAGCGTAAAACCAGAAACAGCACATACCGTGAGTTGTGAGGAGCAGCACATCGATCGTTGGGTCTGAGTTGAAGGCCTTGACCAGGTCAAAACGCCGCGACGGCTCCACCGACCCGTCAATGCGCAGATAGGACACACTGCAGGGAAGAGGGGGGGGTGGGGGAGGATAGACGTGGGAGGGGGGTTGGAATCCAGAGACATGTTTCAACAGAAATGCAGGTGCTAGTGGAGGGTATAAAGAAGATGGGCGAATAGGGGGGGCTATGTAAATCCCAGATTTGAAGGCAATTCAGAAGTGATTATGAATAGGGGTATTACAGTTGACAACCACCATGGGCAATCACCGCTTACCCAGGCATGTGTTTCTTGAAGAGGTCCTCCTCCACAATATCAAGGAATGACTGTAAGGGGGATGGGGGCAAGTAGACACCCGGAAGGATTTGAGATGACAAGGATACCTGTAGACGTTCACAGCATTCACAGGGTCGAACATTAGTCAGGAAACATGAAGCCTAAACCTATCCCATCCAGATACATTCACCATCGACGGATACAGACAAGTGACCCTCAGTGGACTCACCTTAAGCTGGGCGAACACGAGCACACGGTGATTGCCCTCGCTGGCCTCACCTCCCACATCCCCTCCACTCTTACCCTCCCCTCCTCCTCCTATCCCACACTCCAGCAGAATATCTCTCAGAGCAACCAACTTAGGTGCGTGCACTATGTCATGCACGTCCCCAACACCATCCCCTCCGCTGCTGCCAGCACCACTGCTGCTGCCTCCTCTCTGCCCGGCTTCTGCTGCTGCCCCCGTGGCCCCAACTGCTGTGAGAGCAGCGGCGTGGCGGGGATGGGAGGGGTCCAGCACCAGTAACGGATGGCTGCACAGCTTCCTCAGATACTGCAGCGCTTGGAACACATGGGTTGAAGCTTGCTCCCCTCCTCCTTCCTCTGCTCCCCCGCCTGCTGCCGTTACTGCTGTCACCACCTCCTCTGACGCATGGGACTTGGAAAAGTCAGCGTACAGTAGTCGCTGCAGCGTACTGAGCTGGCAGTATCTGTCGGTGATGATTTTGGGCGGCAGGTCTGAGAGCACCTGCTCCTTGGTGCGGCGCAGAATGAATGGCATCACCTGGCATAGAGAAAGAAAGGAAACGGAGAGTTGTGGAGGAACTTGGCATGATGAGCAAACAAAGAGTAGCTGGTCGCACACGTCCCTGCATGACTCTAACCACATGGCAACACATGCTCTTCAACTCTCTATCACTTAGATTTTCCCATCTTTCAACCCCCTTCTTTTCAAGAACGGAGTGAGAAGTGCAAGCGCAGGACTGACCTGGCGGTGAAGGGCCTCCATGGCCAGAGCGCCTGCCTCTGCTTGCTTTGCAGTGCACTTGGGGTCTCGTGCAGCCTGTAGAGGCTTGCCATACCGCGCCTGGAACTGATGTGCATGTGTGATGGGGGGGCGGGAAGAGCGACAGGAAAAGGGAAAATACATTGGTGGAGAAAAGCCACAGGGAAAAACAGTAAAAGTATCGCCAATAAAGCTGGTTGTGTAATTTCCATCTCAGCAGTAACACATGCAGCCATACCTGTTTCTCAGTCCCTAGGAATCCTGGCATGAGGAAGTCGAAGAGCGCCCAGAGCTCCAGGACGTTGTTCTGAATGGGAGTGCCCGTCAGCAGCAGCCGATGCTCCGCCTTGATCCGCCTCACCGCCTGCGACAGCCGCGTCTTGGCGCCCTTGATCAGATGGCCCTCGTCCAGCACACAGTACCGCCACGTGATGGCTGCCAGCTCATCAATGTCGCTTCGTAACACCTCGTACGAGGTTACCACCAGGTTGTGCTTTCTCAGCTGCCCCCGCATCCTCTGCCGGTCGGCAACGCTGCCTGCATACTGCAGTGGGGAGAATATCCCAGGAGGAATGTACTTCTCAATCTCATAGACCCAGTGAGCAACAAGCGTGGGCGGGCAAACGATGAGAGATGGGAGGAGAGGCGTGGGCGCAACTCCGAATCCAGAAGCACCAGGTGGAGCACGATCAGCAGCAGAAGTAGGCCCGCTAGCAGCTGCACGGGCAGCAGCGTGGCGCTCGATTGTGTCTGAGGCGAGCATGGAGGAGGCCTGGAGGGTCTTGCCCAGCCCCATGTCGTCACACAGCACCCCATGCAGGTGGAAGCGCCGCAGAAACGCCAACCAGTTGACGCCCTCCTGCTGGTACCTGCTCAGTGCAAGGGGGAGTGTGTATGTGTGGGGGGGGGTGTGAGGAGAATGAGATGTGAGAATGCATGAGAGGATTAGAAGAGGGTGTGAACATGTGTTCAACTCTACACAGTTTGATTATACGCCCAGCTTGACATTGCACGCACCTTCTCAGGGTCACCGACAGCTTCACTTGCAGCTGGTAATCATCCGCCTTGCGATTATCCAGAAGCTGCTCCAGGAACCGAGCATCCTCCCGAGCCTTCCTTGCACCTTCCTTGTCCAAAAATGCTGGTAAGGGCAGCCCTCGGGCCAGAGGCAGTAGAGGCACGAGCCTGGCAAAGCTCTGTGTCACCAGCTGCCGCACCTGCGGACTAGGGTCGGACATCCGAGCTAGGAGGGGAACGACTAGGAGTGCAGCGTATGGTGCTAGCATCTCGCCTTGGGTGTTGACTAACGAGGAAACAACACTTGCTGCACCGCGACGGGCTGGTTCAGAGAGTGTGTTGGTGAGCTGAGGAATGACATGAGTGAGAATGGCAGAGAGAACAGTTTGCTCTGCGGACGGAAGAGACACAAGTGCTGCCAGGCACTGGGCTGAGGCGAATCGGACAGCAGCATGGGGATGGCGAGTGCAACAGAGAACTGGTGGAAGGAGGAGGAGCAGTTGGGGGATAAGGGACGTGTGGAGGACAAGGGCTAGGCACCGGATGAGTTGAAAGGTGTTGACCAGTGCCAGTGGATCTGCTTTGAACAGTTCTTTCTCATCGCACTTCCCTGTGCTACCACCTCCCTCTGACTCTCCGGGCTTCCAGACCTCAGTGAGGAGACCCCACAGCTTCGGCAGCTTTGTAAAAAGGTCTGGGCCAAGGCTGTCCGCCAAGGCTCTAAAAGACAGCTCGGCTCCTCTGCGGCCAATCATGGCTTCCAGCGACCCTGCTGCCCCGTCCCCTTTTACAATCACACCAGCTGCTCCTCTTGCAGCTGGTCCCCCAGCTCCAGGCGGAGCAGGCATGGCGAGGGTGGGATCCAGGGGGTCATCCGCCTCCCTATTGGCATCACAGGGTGGTGGGCACTGAGAGGGGTCGGAGCAGGCGAGTGTAGATAGATTCTTGAGAAGCCTGTCGTTGGGGGAAGGGCGGCGGTCCAAGGAGCGCAGGATGACGGATGCGAGGCCGCTCGCTACACACTGCTGCAGAAGCTCCTCCTGATAGAAGACGGGGGGAGGGGGAGACTGGGAAGGGGTTAGACATGAGACCAAGTAACCACAGAACTATTCGTGAGTTAATGAAATCAAAAAATCAAGATAGCCACCTCAAGGTAAGACTCACCCTTTCTCGCTTGAGTGCAGCCATGAGTGGTTGTATGATGGGGTTGAGCTTGGAAGGCAGACTTGGGGCAACTCGTACTGCTGCTGTCGCCACTGTTGCTGTGACGGATGTGTGCATGTTGGCCTGGGAGAGGGAAGACGAGGTGAAACGGGGACAGGGAAGAGAGGAGAAGAGAAGCGAAGAGGAATTAAGTGAAGTGATTCTTGAATCAGTGGTACTGCTGTCATCACTGTGTGAAAGCAGGGATGCAGCAAGAGGAGGGGTAGGAGAAGAGAGGGTGGAGAGCTTAGGGGGTAGTCTTTTACTCGGAGCTGTGTGCATATTGGTTGGTTTGAGGCACAGCAGAGAGGATAGGGAAGGAAAAGATCCCAAAATATGCCTAGTAATTTCATTCATACTATCGGTACCCTTCGCTCCGAATTAGACATCCCACCTCCCCCGAACACATAGACGTACATGCATACCAAGCACAGACGCACATGCATAACAAGCACGGACGCAAACATGGCATTGCACACACCTGCACGGTTTTGAGGTAAGTCGCAGTGGACAGCAATCTCCGCCTGCAGCTTTCCATCAAATCCCCCATGCCTTGCTGCTGCTGTGGCTCCTGTTGCCTCTCAGCTCCTCTCCCTCCCTCACTTCCTCCCCTTCCCCTGCCTCTTCCTCTTCCCCTTCCCCTTCCACCTCCTTCCCCTCTCCCTCCCCCAACTCCACCAGCCACACCACCAGGTGCATTCCTGTTCTCCACCTCCCCTGTCTCTGTCCCAGCAAGCCCAGCCAAGGCCCCTGCCAGTTCCAACGCACCCTCAGGACTCAATCTGTCAAAATGAGTTTCCTCCCCTCCTCGTCCTTCCAATGCTCCTTTCGTTCCTCCCGTTCCTCCCGCTTCTCCTGCTGTACTGCTATCTAGAGCCACTGCCGAGCCAACACAGCCGGCTCGTGTAAGCGCCGAACTAATCGTGTCTGGTGCTAACCCCAGAGCTCGGGCATGGCTGATCAAAGCACTAGCTTCGGCTCGTAGCTTGTTGTAGGTTCGAGAGAGCTCCTCGTAGCTTTGGCCAGCATCGGGAGAAGAGAGGAGAGCCATCAAATGGGTCAGCAGTTTTGTAACAGGAGGAGATGGTCGCACCAAAGAAACACCAGGTAGAGAGCTAAGGGCCGACGCATGGTGCTGCTTCTGCTGCTGATTCGGCTTTTGCAATGTTTGCTGCTTGTCAGTTTGCTCCATCTCCATTTTCCCCAGCTCCCGCCTCTCAAGCTCCCTGAACCAAGCAGCAACGATCAAAGCACCAACCTGCTTTTGTGTGGCAGCCACGGACTCCAGGAGGGATATCAACGGGGCTACCCCGCCTTCCAGCTGGTCAACAGGCCAGAAGGAGAGCAGCAGCCCCATGGCTTGGCTTGTGTCCACTCTCATGCGCACAGCTGCACTCTCGCCTTCAGCCCCTACCACCACCACCCCACTACCACCGCTCCCCAGCGCACTGCCAGCAGCAGCAGAGCTCCCTGCACTAGATCCTGCTGCTACACCTTCCAACTCCTTCCCCTTGCCCTTTCCCCTTCCCCCTCTACCCCTTCCCCTCCCCATTCCCTCCGTCCGCATGCCTCTGCTGGCTGTCCCTTGAGCTGCCGGTGACGATGTGGCAAAGAGGAGGAAGGTGTTAATGGAGCTACCAGGCGGTGTGGCGATGAGCTGGCACCAGTGGTGAATCACGGGGCGAGTGAGAGATGCAACCCTGGAGGGGGGTACCTGGCGATGGGAGGAACGATGTGGTCGGGACAAGGGTAAACTGAGTTGACTGTTGTGAAATGATATATGAGCTAGGAACACAGTCAACGTCAGCAGCAACAGTATGATGAGGTGATGTATGAGGGAGCTTGCCAAAAACACAGTACCTGTTGCAAGAGCAGAGGCCAGACACGGCGAGAGACAGCAAGAGCCGTGGGGCGGGTCTCCAAAATCAGATTGCGGAAAATACATGCCAGCGCGTCCACTAACACGTCAGCCACCCAGGGTAATGTTGAGCTGGAATCTGCTGACGAGGTGCCAGTGGATTGAAGGAGCCTCTCCTGTCTCGACCCAACAAGGTGAGTGTGGGGAAGGGAGGAGGGGGATAAGAGGTAACAATGGAATACAAATGGACGAGGGGGGGAAGACACAGAAGTGCAAGGAGGGGAAACGAGAAAGCAAAGCGTACTGACAGACAAGAAACGAGGGAGAAGAATGTAAGCGACATGTAGGTTGACTCACGAGAGTGGAAACAGCAGCAAGTCGGACAGCAGAGATGGTGTGTCGCATCAACGGCCATAATCGACGGACGAGAACCACTAAGGGCGGCAAAGAGTCCCTTCCAGCACCAACAGCAGCAGTGCCGGCAGCAACATCTTTGTTGTGCTTTGGTTTACTCCCATTTAAAGCTAGATTCTCCTCCTCTTCCTTGTCATCGAGGTCATCATCTTCGCCCAACTCCTCATCGCCCTCCACTTGTCCACCAGCAGAAGCAGCAGCAGTCATACCAGCAGCAGCAACATCCGCAGCAGCAGCAGGTTTAGCATCAGCTGAAGCACCAGCAGGTGGAGAAACGGTCCAGAGGGCAGCAACTCGAGGAAGGGCATGCAGCTCAGCGAGGAGGGTCATGACACTGTCGGAAGGAAACAAGTGGATACAACAACCAACGCACATGTGGGTCGGCGAACCTGTCCCCCGACAACATCGAGTAACATGGATGAAGTGACTTTTGAGTCGACTCAAAAGTCACAAAGTACTACCAACAACTACTGGTGTTGAATCCTAAGTTGCTGCCACGCATTGAACTCAATGGCGCCTAACTGGTGTCCTCTACCGTGGATACAACAACCAACGCACATGTGGGTCGGCGAACCTGTCCCCCGACAACAGCGAGTAACATGGATGAACCCAAAAAGCCTCGACATTCAGAGGCTCGCAAGCTCGTAGATGAATTCCATCCATTCGCAGGAGTGCATCAGCAGTTGCAGAAGCTAAATGAGCTGGTAGTCTTGGTCTCATTCACCTCCTTAAGCAAACCTGGAAGCTTCACCCAACCAATTTGCTCACCTGCTAGTGGACGGACTGAGGTCATCAAGTTCTGATAAAATCCCCCACAGCAGCCGCATCAGCTGCCTTAAATCACTTTCGTCCACGCCCTCCCCCACGGTCTTAGCAGCTGGCAGCAGCGCCTCTGCTGCCACAGCCCTCACATCATCATCTGAGTCTTGCAGCGCGCGCATGCAGGCGGGGAGGAGCGAGGGCAGCAGGGAGGGCAGTAGCTCCTGGCGCACTGCTATGAGGTACTTGATGCCAAGCAGGGCCCCGTGCCGCACTTCCCACTCTGATCGGTTCTGCAAATGGGGGATGGGAAGGGCTGCATTGTAAGCCCCTTGAATGGGGAACGGGAAGGATCACCCTCGCAAGACACTGAAGGCGGCCGCTCGGTGCTCAATTTCCACTCCAAGCGAGTCAGCAGCATACAGGTTTGGAGAACGCCACCTGTGAGACATTTTAGAATGAGGACCAAAGGTAATATCATCTCACAAAGGTGAGCTTTCTCTCATGCGGCTTTGAGATAATTGACGCCTGGCACCCCTCTAAGCAGAACCTCCCACTATGGTGGCATGTCTAACAGACAGTAGTGGAGAGATGCATACTGTGAGCATCAGAAAAAGAGACGGTGTTGATACTGTGTGTGTGTGGGACTACATTCTCCCATGCATACCTGCATTTGCAGCAGCACATCAAGTGTGCGAGCAACAGCCCTGGAGGGCAGGTATTTGAGCACCACTCCCAGCGCCTGTCCACACGCCTCCCGCACTGGTGCCACCACCTGGTCCGACACAAAGTCTTCCAACCTAAAGGCACAGAGGGGACCCGGGGTAAAGGGGGTGACGTGAGACACCCATGGCGTCGCCCCACCTGATCTGGCACAAAGCCCTCTTCTAAGAAAGAACGGGCAGGGGAGATGAATAGGAGAAAACAGTACAACAACCTGTATAGGGATAATATCCAAAAGAGCAGGTAAGCATGCACCGAATTGGTTGAGATTTGATATGTACAGCATTTTCAAATAACTCACCTGTCCAAAGCGAAGATGCATAGCAGCCGAATGGCACAGTCCTCCAAAAACAGCTCATTATCCGCCTGTGCCTTCCTGGCAGCTTCTATAGCTAACTGTGCCTTCCTTGCAGATTCCATTGTCGGCATTGCACCTCTCTCCGCCGCCCTCACAGGTTGTGCCACCACCAGCGCACTCTCCTTCTCTTCTCCATTCTTCTCCTCTGCCACTTCCCCCTCATCCACAGGTTTCCCCTCATTTGCTTCCTCGGAAACTTCCATGTTCAGATCCAACCCCTTTCCCACAGCATTCTCACTTTCCTCACACTTGCTCTTCTCTTCACTCCTATCCGTCTTGGCTTCTACCTTACTCCCCTCAATACTCCCTTCATTCTCCAAATTTCGTACCGACCCCTCTCCCATCTCTTCTGATTGCATGCCATCAGAAAGATGCAAGTCCAAGCCCATACGCGCCCTCCCTCCAGAATTTTGGTTAATGACGCCCTCTTGATTCGTCACACCTTCAGTGTCCTCCCTCTTACAGACCATCAACTCGTTCAAGTCAAATCCAGATCGTTCAGCTCGGTTATCCTCCTCCCCCTTCCCGCCCCCTTCTCCTGCCTCCTCCTTCACACACACCCCAGCAGGAGCAGCAAGCTTGTCCCCAAATGCGGACTCTCCATTGCTTTCTTTAGGCGTCTCAGAGCCCATAGAGAGGCCTAGCCAGCCACCACTCCCTTCCTTCGTCTCTGCCTTCGCTTCCCTCTTGACTCCCTCCAGTCGTTCCTCCTTTACTTCCATCTCATCCTCTACTTTCACTTCCTCCTTTGCTCTCGTTTTCATATCGTCCTCTTCACATTTCGCCTCATCTTTCACCTCTGCCTTTGGAGAAGTCTCCGCCTCAGCCTCCCTCTTCACAGCTACCATTTGCTTACTCACACACTCCTCTTCTTTTACTTCCCGCTTCACACCCCCCAATCCTTCCTCCCCACGTTCCTCTTTTGTAATACCCCGATGATTCACTCCCTCCATTTCATCATTAACCTCTTCTTCCTCCTTTTCCGACCTCACCACCTGCGCCTTGACCAACGACACGTCCAGCTCCCTCATTTCTGGCACAGTCTTGCCATCATCCTCCTCCTTCACCACTTCCAGCTCCATCTTCCCCTTCCCATCTTCCCTCTCCTCCTTCCCATTGGCGCTGGCCCACTTAGAAGGAACTATTGGGCGGCAGACTGCAGCACAGTTCCCATGCGCGGATACAACCTCCCTGAGGGCAAGAATACTGCCGTGACGTACCTCCCACACTGCACGAACAAACAAAGAAAAGAAGGCAGAAGAATATTCTGCCAAAAACACCAGGTCGTGGTGCAAAGAAACAGGTCCGCGTGATTTCCACCGCTGACGGAACATCAGCATTCATCGAAACGAAAGGTCGACATTTGACTGAACGAAACTTCACCCTGAATGACACAGCAATCATTACCTGGGTGAAACATGTCTGTGAGCAGTTGTTCACACAGCGCCTGCAAGGGCCATTCCCCCTCCTCCTCCTCCTCTTCCTCCCAATCATCCCCCTCTGCTGCCACCTGCTCTACTGTGATCTGATGGGCGGGTGGCAGGCAGGAGCGGTGGAAGGGTGGGGTAAACAAATTGCTGGAGGAAAGGTCCACCTGTTCTGCTGTGGTAGAAACGGAGCTTGGACAAGAAGCATGAAAACTGTGAACTCATGAAAGGATAGGGAGGACGTGAGAAATAGGTGAAAGAAGGGCGCTTTGAAGGGCTGGAAGAGGGACAATACAACCGATGGTAGACAGATCCTGTACATACCCCCGAGCTGCAACTCAAACACCTGGGTGAAAAGCATGGGTCGCATGCAACAACCAAAATATAATTAACGAACGCACCTTATTGTCCTCCTTCCCATCTGAAACCACACTCTTTGTCCGCATCTTCTTCCTGCCTCCCCGCTCCCCTTCCCTTCCATCCTCATCCTCATCCACCTCCCCCACCCCACCATGAGCCCCTACTCCTCTCTTCCCCCCGTCCTTGCTCATGCTCTTCGCCTTCCGCTTCAGCATGTTTCTCTCCCTTGCACTGAGGGACTTCGACAAAGCGGGTGATCCACAACCAGCAGAACTGCCACCATCACCAACCCCCGGACTGGTGCCACTCGGCAGCATCTCAGCCATTAGATCCTGCGCTCCACGCTTGATTCCAGCTGTACCTTCTCGCTTCTGCTTCTGCTTGCCGCCAGCTGCTGCAGCGGGGTTTGATGAACCTGTTGCTGGTGGTGCTGCTGCTTGCGCTGGTGCTTCCAGATCCTCGTCTCTAATGATATCGCTTACATCCATGAATCGCTCACACTCGTCCAGACCTGTGACAACACAAAGTGCGCAGAAGAGAAAAATATCTCGTACTGGTGCTCCCGTTGAATAGCTGGCTGGGACTCGTTCTCTCGTCAGGAAAACTGACCTGTATTTGATACACCGGCTGTACCAACCAGCCTGACGCCAGCCTGGCTCAACATTGTCACCATCAACCCTACGCACCGCCTGCCCTCAGCTCACCACCTACACGTTTCCGTCTTAATTGTAGCTCTATCAAGCGTTAAATTTCATTCCTAAGTTTCTGCAGTACAGTCAGCACTACTCAATGACAAAGGCCGTTCAAAGAAGAGGAAAGTAGACAGAATAGCAATGTGCGTCACATGGAGCTATAACCCTGAAGCTTTACGCCTTAAGTGGTGCATGGAAAGGCATGCGTTGCCCCATGGCCTCATTCTACTGTCTCACCTAGTCTCCGTCGTAGGGATTGCTTTTGCTTGGCAATCGCCTCCTTTCCCCCTCGCCCAACTGCTGCAATATCATATTCCTGGGCCAGCATAGGATCGGGCAGGTGTAGATTCAGCGATGTTGTGACATTGAGCACAATGCAGAGTTGAGCATGTCGTGTAATGTGGTGTTGTGTGTGAGAGGCTTTGGCATGGAAGGAGCAGGATGTTGGGAATGGAGAGAGAAGGTATGCCTCATTGCTTGATTCCACCAACTCATGTCATGGCAGACCCAGATCCACCAGCAATGCATCACCAATACTAACGCAACACAACCATGATTCACGCACCTCCATGCATTATGACCATAAATCATCATCAGCAAGCGTTACCTTGCCAGCTGATGCCACAAGCTGTGCTCCATTGTCCAACACACGACCAATGTCAAAGCTGCAACACGCGAGGCACATAGAGGGACGTCATAGAGGAAAACAATAAGAAAACAGCGGGATGAAGACATCGGTGCTTGGAACATTCAGGTTTCATTCTTCAACACATACCCAGCAGCATATGAATTTGCACCATCAAACACTAAAGACTCTGTCCGTCAGAAAGACAGACGTCTTACCCCTCGAAGCGCAAGCCGCCACCCGCAGCAGTAGGTTCTACAGCAGCTGGTGCAGCACCTTCGCCATCAGCGGCTGCAGAAGTAGTGCCAGTACGTGCTGCTATTGCTCCTTCATCACCAGATACAGTGGAAGCAGCAATCTGCAGGTCCTGCACTGTGGGATGTGGTGTGTTCCGAGCTATGTACCCTAACGCCTTGGCTGCAGCCACACGCGTGTCCCACTTGCTGCTCTTCAGCAACCTCTTCACCTGTACGGAGGGGTTCAGAAGAGGAGATAAAAGTTGAAAGAAAAAACGCTTGTAAACAAGCAATGGATGGTTCTAGAGTAACAAAGAACTTGAATGCGGAAACAACTAGCAACATTGAAGGTGGGCCGTGGGGGTGATACAGCAAGCTGCAGGGAAATAGCTGGCATAGGTTCAAGCAGGAATGGAATGCAGGGAAACCAAAAGCACATGCATCCGAAGACGATTGGGGATCGTACACGTCGAATGAGAGCATGCAAATCCGCTCTGTGGAGGCTAGCTAACTCTCCAATTTGACGCGCGGCTGTGTCGCGCGTCGTGGCCGCTTCCCCAGCTGAAAGAAGAGTTTCGACACGGAAAATGAAAGAGGAACTGGTGAGCACAGTTATCGCCAAAAGCGAAGAGGAAAAGACCAACAAGGGGGTGAAACAGGACGGAGCAGGAGGCGTAAAACGGAGAAAATGTACTCTTTCGCTAAAGTACAGTAATGCTAAGTTAGCAGGGAAGAGACATGGTGCAACTGAACAGTTCGTGAGCTAGTGGAATCATCGGGGTGGAAATATTGGAAGGATGCCGTTCGTACTATCAAGGAGAATCAGAAGCCGGTCGAATCGAGTGGTACCCCCAGAACCACTTTTATTGCCGCCGACCGCCATGGCCGATGCAATTTTGAATCTTGAGGAAGTACGTGTAGAGTCTAAAGGTTTGACTTGTCCATGCGTTCACAAAAGTCTCTCGGCATGCGCACACCGCGCCAGTGAATGTCGACCAGTTTATGTCTGACTCGTACTATAACGCATTCCCTGGCGGCGGACCTAGTTGCGGCGATACGAGAGATTCCTTGAGCCAAGACAAATCCTATTCCGTGCAGGAAGCTCTGGCCAATAAGGAGATCTTTTAGAGGTTTGAGAGAAAAGAAGCTTTTTACGACCAGCTTGCCGGCCTAGGATGCTTCACGGAATCCAGAACAACATGGCGCAGAGGTCTGCTGCTCAAATCGGATGACGGAGTAGCTTCAAATACCTCCAGGTTGAAATCGGCCAGGAAATAACGAAGGCCTCTCAGTGTGTTATCATTGGGCTTCCAAATGGCTGAATATACGGTACATGTTGCTTTCAAGATTTGTCTTGAATATGGAATGGTATCCTTATCAACTATTATTTCCACCTGTCAGAGCAACATACAGATATCAGTCTATTTTGCCAACCTTCTAAGATTTGCCTCAATACTATCCTTGGCAGAGCGGTACGCCGTTGATATTGCGTGCAGTGAAGGTTTTGTGTACATGTTAGCTGAACCATCTGTGCCAGTGGCAGCATCAAATGCAGCAGCTAATGCTGTATTCTGCTCCTTATACTTTCCGTATGACTTCTCCACCTGTATCATCCAAAGACAAACATATCATTACACCATTTCCAAGTACCGTAATGGACCAAAAAAAAAATGTAACAGCATACCAACTTACATCCACAAGGAGGGCTCGAAGCCTTTGTGCCTGCTCTCTTGTACCACCGATAGGGATAGTCTGCAGCTGTCCTTGTCCACTCACACCACAGACAGGCGATGACACTGGTGATGGCCTTTGACCGGTACCATCTCCGAAGCTGCTGCCATCGTGCCTTCGTCTCCACTTGCGAGATGGTGTCGGGCAACGGCAGACCTCCATCAGCAACTCTTGCGCAGCCTCAAGAATGAAAGACATATTCGGTACAGACTTGGCTTCAGGCTCTGCTTCATTCTTCTTCGGGTCGTCATCATCACCACCACCTCCAGCAACAACACTGCTCTTGCCATCAAACGGGGGTAATTGCACTCCCAAGTGAGTACAATCAGCATCCCGGATGTCCTTTTCTCCTGTCACCATAGCCATGTAGCTGGACCCAGGTAGAGCAGCAATAGCTAACAACTCCGATTCGTGACCAGCTTCATTCTGACTCCCATCAACCTGCATAGAATCCATTAAGATTCCCTGCTGAGGGTGGCTGGACCATAGACCTGCAGCAAACCCATCGTCAAAGTCCTCAAAAGCATGGCCGTGGAATCCTTCTTGAAGGATCGGAACAGGGGCCGAGCTAACTCGCTCTAATGCCAGCTGTGCACCATACTGTGGTGCTGCCTGGTCCACCTGGTGCTGGGGGATGCTGCTTCCAATTCCAGCATAAGCAGCAGATTTGTCTTCTAGAAAATGAAAAAGGGACTTTCCTTGAGCAGCAAGTTGAGCAGAGTCAAGGGAAGCAGTGCAGGACAGCATATCTTGTGCTGTATGCTCATGAGGTTGGGAGGAAGAGCTCTCATTCGAAGGGAAGCTACTTGCAGGCCAACCAGAGGGTTGGTGATGCTTTGAGTAATACTGCAAGTTGTTCTCCTGCTGCAGAAATTGGACCTTTCTTCCATCTGCAATCATTTCCCCTCCTGGCTGAAGGAGGTCGTCTTTCTGCAGTCCTCCAGAATTAAGCCACGTATCAGACAACTGGCCGCTTTTAAAGAGAGGAAGTGAAGGTCCTTGTTTAGGTGATGACTCGGAGAAGCATATAGGATCAGTAGCCATGTTTCGTTCCTCATCACGGTCGTTGGCAACGACCAGAAAGCCAGCACGACCCTTCAAGGAGCAACAAAAAACGTTGTAAATGTTTATGCAAGACACTTGAGGAATACTAATGTAAAGATGCAAAGCCAAGCACTTCATGGTTGAAAGAAAACCTTACATTTCCTCTTAGGATTGCCTTCCGCCTTGCGTGATTCACATGACGTCCATGGTTCTCGGACGAGTAAGGTTTGACAACACCCGTAATATTTACTGAAGAAGGATGGACACCAGCGCCTGACAGAGACTGCAACACATGGTTAAAGAGATAGCGGTTCAAGACTCGGCATGGATGAATGGCTGGATACAGTGAGAAGTTGAACGTACTGAAGCATGCAGATGAGAGGACGATGGAGGTGGTCCTGGTGTGATGATGTCCCCAGCATTAGAAAAATCCTTATCCCTGCCAATATCGTCATGACGCCATCGTTGGTGAGTAGTATTGTTTCCGCTGTAAACATCGCCGTGAGTTTGAATCTCCATACTGAGCATGAAACCCGAATTTTCTGAGGGGATCGAGAGTCAATATATCCTCGAAATGCGCGAACACAATGAAGGAACGTAACTTATAGACCACGTCACCTGATTATGCCGTCAAAGGCTATCCACTCAGGGAGGCCATCCATGGAAAGATTCCACACGAAGAGGTCAGTCTTGCGTAAGCTTTCATGCAACCTGTGGCTGACAGCCTTGCAAATGAGTGTGCTTGCAACGAAGGTTTGAAGGCTTCATGGAAAGCGGATCCTGATAGTGCAGGAGTACAGACTCAAGACCTGAGATTTCAAATTTTCACTGTCGGGTTAGACATCGGTAAAAATGTGAGTCATTCCCGATTGCTTCTTGATTTCTCCGTCGTCGGATTCTTAACATCGTACCGGATGCTTCCTCCGTCGCTGCAAGCAGCAACGTTGGTAGGGGAACCTTGGAATTGTGGTGATTTGGAGCGCCTCGACAATAGGGGAGCCATCAGCGTCACACTTTCGGACAGCAGTCAAAAAAATGATACCCGAGTGTTCTGACAGTTTGAGAATCTGCTGATGGAGATGTCGAGGTGAAGACGACTGATGATGATCAGGCGAGCTAGCCGAAAGGGACAATCTGTTCACCTGACCAGACCGCACCACAACCTGACTCGCATAACACTACAGTATAGATCGTTTTGTGTAGCGTCAAGAGTCCAAAAAGGCAATAATAATATTTGTATGGCCAGCTGGTTGTGGAATTACAGGCTGTTCTTTTCTGTGCACAATGATAGGCACAGCAGTTCATGCAGCTTTAGGAAATCTTTATTGAAACATAAGAAACATTAATACATACAATAAGACAAAAAGGGGGCAAAAGGGCAACATGACATAATAATCTATGCTACTCTAGGATAAGGGCAACCGGTTTTCATTCCATTCGTTGAGGAGAAGGAGCCACTTTCTGTGAACTGAAGTTGAGGACATTTCCTGTGTAACCTGCAAATAGAGACAGACATTAGGAGCTGAGATTCTCACAGATTCCTGGGACAAAAGAAGTCAGACTGGACTTGGCTCTCTCAGGTCACTGGGCACTAAGATTACTGAAATTGCTGACAGCAACAGTTCACTTTGAAAAGGAAGCTCACCTAGACGTGGGTCCCACCCCCTGGCTTCGAGTTCTCGGTACTCCTGAGCAAAGGCACAGCAGGGGCAGAAGAGGTGTAGTGCAGCGTCCACGCAGGGCCTGCTGGGCAGGCCATACTTATCCCTCAGCATGCCACGGAAGCCTGCAAGAGTTAATGGGGAAGGGGCACTAGTCAGTATTGAGGGCGTCCATCACAATTGCGAAGTAGCTGAGGAAATCATGGAGGCTGGAGAGGTGTCACCTTTGGAGTAGAGGCAGCCGCACATCCCGACCGTGAAGTATTGGATCAATGCCCAGCAGCAGCAGGCAAAGGTGGCGTCTGCAACGCAAATATCAGGGGCCGCACATTCGGTGACGCAGAAAAAGGGTTGAGGGTGGTGGGGTGGAAGGGGGAGGGAGAAGCGAGAAAGAATGAGGGAAGGGGAACAACCGCTGCCAGTCAGAACAGATACGGCAATGAACTCATAGAGCTCCATGTTGATGCCTTGTTTTGCCCTGAACAGCTTTAGGTGCACTATCGAACATGAAGTACGATCACATCAAGGTAGCATGATCGTATGTGACGGGAAATTGGCCTCGTGAGCTGAACGGGAAGTGCTTGTAGTTTAAGAATGCTGGCCCCAGAAAGAAGTGTGAGTAGACAGAGTGCAGCAGAACATGTTGGTTGCAATGATAAGGGTGGAATGTGAAGATAATCAGGGGGGTGCAAGGGGGAAAGAGAGCTTTGGGGCACGCAAAGCCAAGGGGCTGCTTTTTTGGCTTGCCACTTTGCTCCTACGGCACACAAACTAGTATGCCACACCCTGTTGAGGGAGCTTGCAGGATTATTGGTCGAGGAGTGCAACCTGACTGCAGCAACCTTTCTGGTAAGACACAGAAGCAAGTCGGACGGTACTGACGGAGATCTATCGGCATCTTGCTGCTAAACAGAAAAGGGGAGTAATATAGCGGAGGATGAACCTGTGAAGCCGTCAGTTGAGATTTCGGCGATGCGGCCAGCGAGAACGCAGGGGCAGCACAACGCGCACAGACCTGCGAGGACACGTGATTCCAGGAGGGAGGAGGTAGAAAAGGAGGATCAAGAAAGAGAAGGATGGTCATGGAAGGTACACCAGCCCTGGAATTTTCGAGAGCGATTGGCCTGGAGGGGAGCTGGAAAGTAAAAATGGGTTACGGAACGGGTTGTTAACAGCAGGTTTATGTCGCTGTCTAAAGAAAAAAGCAGGCGAGATACGGAACGGAACGGGGGATACAAGGTATTCGCTTGGCGGCTCGATTCCCACGAGCTGTTGACGATTGCTGCGAGCTGCCGGGCTGCTGTACAGGCTGGCGATCGTCGCGAGCAACAGGAGACAAGAAAACATTCGAGGAGACGATGTTCGGTAGCAGAGAGGCTGAGAGGTTCGACTAGATATTCGCGGCTCGCGGCTCGCACCCACTCCGAGCAGTCGGATATGCAGTTGCGTACGAGAGTCTGGCGAGTGACTTACATGTCTTGCCGTCTTTGTGGCATTCCAGCAACCCGGAAGACCAAGCCCCTGGCGTTACGCCTTTCTTCTCAGCTGTGGAAGCCGACATGGCGAAACGTTTTCAGGTAGTTGTACTTCTCAAGAAAGCAGTCCGCGCCTTTCGAGCACCAGAATTGTTTGTTCGCACGCCGATTCTGCCGCACGGTTTGGCGAATCAGTGCGCGCCACGCTGTAAGCCGTTTATCTATCCACTTGGCCCGCCAAGAACCGTTGCTGCTACTTGAAGCTTATGTGTCACTGGTAATGAACGTAATAAGTATCGATGGTGGCGTTGCTGACGATATCCCCCGTTGTTCCGAGAGGAAGGCGAGAGCCAACAATATCTGGGAAGGGCGGAGCAGTTGATGGCGTTTTCAGAAGCCTCGAGCTTCGCAGATCCTGGCAAGAATGGCTATTGAGATTCCATTGATCTCCATGGGAGCTTAGATTCCAATTCTGGGTAGGACCGATAGTGGCTGGAGAAGTTGTGAGGGAGTCGTCGAATCAAGGAAGAGGAGCGAGTGAGTGCTCAGGAAAATTGGTTTGGGCAGTGGGCACGGGGCACACTTGTGAAAGTGAGAAAGATGGAATGGTTGTGATGTGAGATGCAAGCAGGGAAGGAATGAAGGAATTGGCTGCGAATCGCATTGTGCTTGACAGCTCCAATTATTCATTCACTCCAATAATTCAGGTTACCCTCCTCGTCAGATAGATTTCGGAACCACGAGACTCGTTCGGACCTGAACCGCTTTCTTTCGTTACACTTCGCAGCGAATCCCAACAAACCAAACGCGTACCTTGGAAAGGCAGGTTTGTGCAAAACTCGTGGCTGCCAATAATGCGGTGATGGTTTTATGACGGGATGTAACAGCACTCACGTTCTCGACATGAGGAAGTTCACAACAAAAAGGAGCCTTTATTGGTATGGGACATGTAAGGGGGGCCCATTGAACCAAGCCGTATGCAGTATTAGTGTTCTCTACGATATGTTATCATTTCCACTTGCGGAGATACAGAAATGCCACTATGCTCTAGTTTTTTGTAACCTCCACGAAAGGCGATTCACATGTTATTTACATCCGATTTGCAATGGATGTATTCTCATATTATAGTAAGCGTATGCAGTGTGCTGCTTTTGTATGAATTGCATTATTCTTTTGACACGGCACTGACAGTTCCCCAAATGTCTAATTCCCAAAATCCATTATACGGATTGGCATTGCAAAAGCCAAGTTTGGGATGAAAGCCGGCTCTCATTTGGAACACTTCCAGTACTGCCATTGCTTTCTTTGCCTGCCAATTTCGAATCAGCCCAACAATTCCCAAGCTCAGCTTCTAACGAACCAATTTCAGCTGTGCTGTAAAGCACCAAATAATCCCCCTCCGCAACGCCAAGAACGACATTGCGCCATGGCAAGTGTAACGTACGTAACGATGTGGTGGTAGCGACAGTGTGCTTGTATAGCAATGCCCTCGCAGCGGGACCTAGCCACGCCATGGCAGCGGCTCCGCTCGCGCGTGTTCCGCGTGCAGGAGGTCAGCACGCTCTTCGCCAGCTCAGATGCTGCTGGAGTTGACACGTGGCACTCGCCGCGATCCCCGGATCGCAAGTCGACGGTTAAGGACAGGGACGGTAGGACTGGGGAAGCGGAGAGCGCGGAGGCGGCGGAATGGGGTGGCGGGGGTGGTGGAGAAGCGACGCTGAAGCGGTCGCTAGGATGGGCGGACACGATCTCGCTGGGGGTCGCCAGCATCATTGGCGCGGGTCCGTGCATCACCGTACAGCACCGTGAAGCACCGTATAGCATTGTAGTGCATGAGCAGGCATCATACAGCACCTTGAATCAGTTTCTCCAAATCGCACGTTCTTATGTGCCTCTCCCTTCCCGTCCCACCCAGCTTCCTCAACTCCCCATATTTCCTTTCCCATTCCTCTCGCTATTGTCACCTGCTCCCCCCCATCTCGCCCCCCTGCGCTACTACAATCACAGGCGTGTTTGTCATCACAGGGGTAGCGGCTCGAGACCATGCCGGCCCCTCTGTCATCCTCTCCTACCTCCTCTCTGCCACGTCAGCACTCCTCTCCGCCCTGTGCTACACGGAGTTTGCCGTCCACCTGCCTGTAGCGGGCGGCGCCTTCTCCTACCTCATGGTCACGCTAGGCGAGCTCCCAGCCTTTATCACAGTAGCGAATCTCCTTATGGAGTACATTCTCTCCAACGCCGCTGCTGCCCGCGGCCTCTCCGCCTACTTCGCAGGGTTCCTCGGGCAGGACCCGGAATTCTTCCGGCTGCCCGTGCCAGCATGGGGAATCACCCTGGATTTCGTTGCACTGGGGCTCATCCTGTCTCTGTCCGTGCTGGTGGCATACGGCACCCAGGAATCGTCCTACTTCAACTTCCTTGCTTCCGGTCTCAGCATGCTCGCCATTGTCATCATCATCGTTGCTGGCTTCACAGCAGGCAGCCTCGAAAACATCACTGCCTCCTTCGCTCCGTTCGGCATGCAAGGCATGCTGGATGCAGCAGCGCTTGTCTACTTCTGTTTTATCGGCTTCGACGCGGTTACCACACTCGCAGAAGAAGTCGCGAATCCGGCCGTTGATCTTCCGATAGGGATTGTGGGATCGGTGGCTGTGGTGGCTGTGATCTACGGCTTCATGGCGCTCTCTCTCTGCCTCCTCGTGCCCTACCCTCAGATCGACGCCGACGCTCCCTTCTCCTCTGCATTGCGCCAGCTGGCGGGGTGGGGTTGGGCGGCAGGCGTGGTGGCAGCAGGAGCGCTGCTAGCCATAGTGACTGCGGTGCTGGTGGGGCTAATGGGTCAGGCTCGGATCGTGCTGGTTGTGGCTCGGGCCGAGCTTCTGCCGAAGCAGTTTGCTTCGGTGTCACCTGTGACGCGCACGCCTCTCTTTGCGACAGCTGTCCTTGGTGCGTTGCTATGGTCTCGTTGGTCCCTGCGGTGGGCTGTGCGTGCGAGCACTCTCTGCCCCTGCATCTTGCCAGCAGTCACCATGATTGCCCACAGTGCATGCTAGGTGCTCAATCACACCATCTTCATGGCTCATCCCATCACTTCGGATCTTAGGACAGGTAAACTTCACCTGAACCCCATTCCTCTGCTCTATTCTCTTGCAGGTGTGGCGACAGGTGTGATGGCGCTACTGGTGGATTTAGAGACGCTAGCGAGCATGGTGTCCATCGGCACGCTGCTCATCTTCCTCATGGTCGCCCTCGCCCTCCTGCTGCACCGCTACCACCCCCGCGTCACCCTGCCGGCCCCACTCGGCCCCACACCTGTCGCTGCCTGTGCTGCTGATGGCGCTGCTGCGCATGCAGCAGCACCAGAAGGAGCAGGAGAGGAGATAGGCACAACAGAATCGACAGCAGCAGGAGACGATGGAGTGCCTTTGATGGCAAATGAATTTCACTCCCGACCTTATGAGGCCAACCCACCTGCTGTGCTGTCTCCGCGAAAACATCAAGTGCAAGCTGCGCAGCAGCAGAACGAGAATGGACGACCCACTGAGGGAAAGCTTAAGAGACGCCAAAGACAGAAGCAGGGCGGTGGGGAGGGCATGGGGGTGGTGTTGATGCATCTGGGTGTGATTGTGGCAGGGGCAGCAGGCGTGGCAGTGGCGTTCAGAGTGCTCCCCGGCCACACTGCACCCGCACTGCTCTCCGCCGCCCTCTGGGCTGCTGCGACCGCCTCCCTTGCCGTGCGTCCCTCTGCTCTCAGTCCATCTGTTTGCACCACGCATGGCACTCTATTTCTCATGACAGCTGTTCCCCCCCCTTTCTACCTTACCCTTCACTCCCACTCACTCCCCTTCTTCTGCCTCTCCCTACTGGTGCAGGCACGTGGTTCTGCCTCTCCCTACTGGTGCAGGCACGTGGTGGCTTTAAATACTCTCTCAGAGCCCTTTTGCCTCATCCCCTTCAAACTCTTCCTTGTCTGTTGGCCTCGTCCTACTCACTCTTCTCCCCAACATCTCCCCCCATTCCCCCCCAACTCTCCCCCCACTTTCCCTCTTTCCTTTCCACATTTCCCCCTTAATTCCATCCCACATTCCATCGCCCCCCAGTGCTGCAGGGAAGCAGAGGCCACGCGGGTGTTTTCAGTGCCGCTGTGCCCGTGGCTGCCCTCCGCCTCCATCCTCGTCAACACGGTGCTCCTCGCCTCCCTCGACACCTCCGCCTTCATCCGCTTTATAGTCTGGTCCGCTATAGTCACAATTGGGTATGTGCTAATGGTGCTGCTATCCCGTGAACCTAAGGGAGAGTACAGGGGGAATAAGGGAGAGCATGGGAGTACAACGGCAGCATCAGCACTGTCCCCTGCAGCAGAGAGCAAGGCAGATGACACAGGGGATGTAGAGTTGACTCCTCTGGTTACCCATGCGCAAACATGACACTGCCTACCAACATTTGTTTTGTCTGCTTCTGCTGTTGTCGTCATTGTACAGTGAGTTGCATCTACACCTGGTCGCACTAAGTTCAGAAGAACAAGAAACGACTTCCAAGGAGGGTGTAGTACACATCTGTTAGCATGGATCATGGATCACGGAAACCTAAATGTCAGACGCCAATCAGAACACATGTTTCACAGTACTTCTACTCCTACCGTAACTGCAGGGCTGGGTTGGCCCTTGACACTCATCTAACCTTCTAGTACATAGCTGATTAACTAGAGGCATGGAGCAGGGGGGAGGGGATCACGGGGAGAATGATCCTAGGAGTTGGCTAGAGAGCTAAACGAGGGTGTCAGAGGGTCTAGTGCTGCAACGACTGGCACCACATGCCATCCCGTGCAGTAGTCAGTCACACGTGGAGAGTCGCACCCCCCGTGTTTCCTCACAGGTTGATCACCGGCGCAAGGGGTGAGCGCACATTCGCCACACCAGCAGCAGCACCAGTGGCAGCGGGAGTCACGGCACTAGCGTGGGTCTTGACGGCAGTGCCCGGGCCAGGTGCGACCTGCACCCAGCGCTTCTGGTCGTAGCGCCGTGCCGAGTGCGACACGTGTGTGCCACTCGTGGTGCCTGAATCCGCCACCGAGCAGCTCTCGTTCTCCGCGTCGGGGCTCTGGAGAGGGTGAGAAAGGGGTGGAGAGGGATGAGGAGGGGTGTAAGAGGGCGTGGGAGTGAGACGGAGGGGAGCAGCAGGTGAAATGTGGCGCATGCGTGCAGAGTGCAGAGAGGCAGGCATGAGCAAGCACAAGCAAGCACAGGGCGAGTGCAGCATTGCAAGTTCAAAGGACCACACTCACCGGAGCATGCGTGCAGGGGGACGCGGCGGTGAGGTTGGGGATGGGGGACATGGGGGAGGCGGGGGAGGCGGGGGAGAGGGGGGAGGCGGAGGCCGCGTTGGGGGAGATGGGGGAGGGGAGGCCGTCGGGGGAGAGCGAGAGCAGCAGGTGCTGCAGCTGGCTGTGCACCTCCGCCATGCGCGGGCGGTCCTCGGGCTCGTGCTGCAGGCAGTGCGCGGCGACGAGCGCGAACAGGTGCAGCGACTTGGGGTCGAGCGTGGAGTTGAGCCGCAGGTACGGGTCCACCAGGCTCGTCACGGCGAGCCTGTTCTCCAGGTGCGGCAGCACCCACGTCAGCAGCGACTGCTGCCCCTTGGGTCGCGACGAGTCAACGGGCTTCCGGCCGGTCAGCAGCTCCAGCAGCACCACGCCGAAGCTGAACACGTCGGACCGCGCCGTCTGCTCGCCGCTCACGCGGAACTCGGGCGCCTGGTACCCCATGGACCCCAGCACGGACGGCGACACGGCGCGGCCCTCGGACCAATCGCGCACGAGCGTGTGGATGCCCACGTCTTTAGTCTTCGCGCGCAGCTCGCCGTCCAGGACCACGTTGTCGGCTGACACGTCGCGGTGAATCACCAGCGGCTCGCACTGTTCATGCAGGAACTCCAGCGCCGCGGCCACGTCGACCGCGATCTGCACGCGCTTCTGCCACGTCAGCGCGCGCTCGAAGCGCAGGTCCCCGTGCAGGTGGTCTTTGAGGCTGCCACCTGGCAGATACTCATAGGCCACCCACCGCTGGCCCTTATCCGCGCAGAACGCCATGATTGCCACGAGGCGGTTCGACTGCACGCACAGGTCCCCCAGCGCCTTGACCGCCGCCGCGAATTCCGGCTCGTCGAGCTTCTCCCCGGACAGCTCGAGCAGCACCGCCATCTGCACGCGCGCCTTGCTCGAGAAGTCCGCCTTGTACATGCGCCCGTGCCCGCGGTCGCCGATTAAGTTCGCCTTCGAGTACCCCTGCGTTGCCGCGTGGATCGCCTTAAGACCGATCTTCTTAATCTCCATTACCTCCTGAGGGCTGCCTCCGCCCTCCGCGTCGCCCACCGTTCGCGTCGTCCCGATCTCGGGCGTCCGCGGGTCGTCGCCGTTGTCGCCGCCGCACAACCCGGCGGTGTTGGCGGGGGAGGTGGGCGAGCTCGCGCCTTGGAACGCGAAGCTTCGCTCTGACACGCCGGGCGTGTCGCGCGGCGTGCCTGCTCCGCTGTCGCCGCCGCCATTCGCGCGCGCGCCAGCGGGAGTGCCGGGGATGCCGCTGCGGAAGGAGAGCGCGGGCTCGTTGAACGAGTTGCCTCCCGAGATCGACGGCTTCACGGGCGGGAAGGGGCTGCCACGTGGCAAATCCCACCTTCCCCAGATGGCTGGCGGAAGCGGAGGGGAAAAGGCCGAAGGGGGGAGGGCGGAGAAGAGGGGAAGTTGACGTGAGAAGGAGAGAGGTAGGCGGAGGGAGCGAGAAAGATGGTGTGGCGAGAGCAACAGCAATGGGGCTCTACCCGTTCCAGTCACGAATCGTTTTACTCACAGTTCTTCCCGTGCGGCCTGTACGGCGCCTCGATGCTGCCCGTCAGCACCTTGGCCATCCGTGAGTTCTCCACATCAGCGCGGCGCGCGGCGTTCCTGTCGCGGCGCCACGTCAGCAGCTGGCAGAAGAGCGCCGCGATAACCAGCGCGGCCGCGAGCGACGCGACGACGATGCCGATGATGGCTCCAGTGCTGAGGCCGGAAGATGCGCCGGAAGACGCGGAGGACGACTCGGCGTCGGCGTTCTGCGACTCTTGCGACGGCTTGAACGCGAGACCGGGCGCTCCTGAAAGGACGGAGCAGGAGGAATGAGGAACTCGACGGATGCTTAGAACAGAAAGGAAGCGGCGCTTAGATGCACGACGCGTAAACAACGCATGGAATGCGAAAGCAACCAACGTTAGAGCTCCATCTGATTCATAACATCATGAAAATGGGGAGCGCGTGACCGTACCGAGGACTTCGTAGTCTCTGAAGGCCTTGGAGAGAATGACGCGGTGGCCCGTGACGGCGTCCACCAGCTTCGCCTCCTGCCGCGCATCCAGCGCCAAACCATTCACCGGCAGCACCGCCAGGTACAGGATCACGCTGCCCGGCTCGCGCCCAATCACCATCAGCTGACGTGGCTCCAGCTGCAGCGCGCGGGACAACTCGCCAAGCAGCACGTCCTCCTGATTCGCGTTATAAGCCGCGAAGTCCAGGTCCTTGAAACGAATCTTGAGCAGCGACGGCTTGGCGCACGTGCACCCGTCCTCGAGCCCCGGCAAATCGTCCCCGGCACACGGCGGACAGTTGGGGAGTGGCGCGGTGATCAGCGGAGGGAGGCTTCCCGTCTCATCCGCGGAGTCCTCCACCGGAGCGGGAGTTGCGGGGAGCGGCTCCGCCGACGCGCCAGCGCACAGCGAGCCGGGAACCGTGCTGCAAAAACGATTTCCGGGACCCAGCTTGAGGTAAGTGACGGCTTTAAGAGCGGCAGGGATGGCGCCAGAGAGATTGTTCCCGTAGAGGTACAGGTGCGTGCAAGTCGCCATGCCGCCTAGCTCGGTAGGCAGCTCGCCCGTGAATTTATTGTCCTGTAGCTCGACTTCTTGTACCGAGTACAGCTTGCCAAGCTCGGGAGGAATCTGCCCGGCGATCTGGTTGTTGCACAGCCGCAGCTGCAGCAGCCCCGTGAGGTTGCCGATGAACGGCGACAGCGCGCCTGCGATGCCCATGTCGCACAAATCGCTGCGCGTCGCAAGGAGACGAGCAGGGTGAAGATCGGGTGGGGAGAAGCAGGAAGGAGTGCGTGGTGATGAGAATGCGACGGATATACACGGAGCATGCACACAAAAGGAGAAACCTGCAAACAAAAACGAAGCGTGCGAATGAAGTTTGAAGCACGTTCTTTTGTACTTACAGTCTTGTGACGACGCCGGGCCGCGCGCACGTGACGCCGACCCACGTGCCGTCGCAGGGGTCGCTGGTGGTCCACGTGGCGAGCGCAGCGGGCTTGCTCCCCTCGAAGCCAAGCTTCAGCTGCTGCATCGCCTCCAGTTGCCCTGCCATTCCGCGCACCAACCACGCAAGAGGACATTGGAAGGCGGGTCAGATTGGAAGCGCGAAGCACGCGGAGAAAGGCGGGTCGGATGAAAGAGAGGGAGGAAAAACAGAGTGGAGGGGAGAAGAGGATATCCGAACTAGACTTGGAGGCTTTTAATTGAAATAATTCAGTCATCCGTGCTCGAGGGTCGAGGGTAATACAAGTCACTGGAGAGTGTAGGTGGTTAACGTCAATACCTAGGGACGACGGGTCCGTGGGATCGATCACAAGGGCCGACGCGGTAAGCGCGAGGGCAAGGCAGAAGAACGCTCGGATCGTGGACCTCCGAGCCATGCTGCTCAATCTCCGTCGCATGACGGTTGACGAAAAGGAACGACGAAGAGTCTCTGGGTTTAGACTTGAAGATTGCAGATTTACTCTGACTTGAAGATTGCAGGGCTTCTCGAAGCTAAGAGCTAGTCTGGAACGAGGAAGCGCTGTGCTAGGGGATGCACCGAGGTGGTGCTGCGAGTGAATGGGATGAACCAGCAGAATTGAGTCAACCTCTCGGTTTTCATAAGATGTGCTTCGTGGACGGAAGGACTCGAATCGGCTCTCGTTACTCGTACTATCGGCTCTACCTGGTCAAATAGGTGACAGAACGGTATGTTGTTTTGGCGCAAGCATTTGGTCGCGACTCAAGAAAGCAAATTGCCGGATGTTCAAATCGCACGGCGAGATGGAGCCTAGCAGTGGCGAGGAACACAGGGTAGATCGGACGACTCACGATCAAAGAAAGGGACGAAGGAGCGGGTGAACGGTGGATAAAGCGGTTGGCGCGGGCACAATGATCCGCGTCTCGGGTTGGCCCCGCTCGATCGTCGCAGCTGGCCGTCGCCTGAAGCATTGCGAAATGCGGTGCGGTCTTGAACCCCTGAGTTTCAATTTGAAAAGCGTCGCAGAGAGCTGACCGCGCTCATTTTCAAACTCAAGTTCGAAATGTTTCCCGCCCTGAGGGATTCTGGCGCAGGCGCTGGGTGCAGGTCTCACAGAGCCTCCCTTGACTCGAATCCAACTGCTGTTATCATGCCCAAGCCCAAGGCACTGCGGAGGGATACACATTGTAGACTGGTTCGTTGCTTCATTACTAGATATATAATGTTTAGACTAATAGCCAAACACTAGGGGAGCAGCACAAAAGCACACACATTGAAACATTACCAACCACAAATAGAAACAGAATAACAGAATAGCCAAGTCGAGTATATCTTAGACTACGTAAATTAGGAAGCAATTAGTCAAACCCATGTGGACACTACGCTTACTTGCAGTTCAAAACCAGCTACCCCACTTGGTGTTAGTCTGCCATGGCTCTCATTGGCCCAGCCATTAAGGATACTGGGCGTTATCTGAAAGAGGGATGACAGAGTAGAAGAGATAAGGCAGAAATAGGATTTTACAGTGTGAATAAATGCAAAACTGCATGTGATAATTAGAGTTCTAAGGGGCTGTGCAGAATATAAATTTCTATCCAACAAAAGATGACGTACCTTCAGTACCAGGGGACCCTCCCCCTGCCTCGCGCTCTCCCTCGCCCCCTGCCCCTGCCTCTGCCCCTGCCCCTGGCCCGGCCCCTTCCCCTGCCATGCAAGGGGGGCCGCCCCCTCGGACGCGGCAGTGCCGGGTCCTGCAGGCAGGGGGAGGGGGGAGAAACGTGGGGAGGAAAGAGGAGAATATGGGGGGGAGAGATAAGGGGAGGGAAAGAGTGGGGGGAACAGGGGGAGGAAAGGTGGGGAGAAACGCAGGGTTGGGGGGTTGGAGTGGGGAGGGGTGGGGGGGAAGTAGAAATATGATGAGGATTTTATGAGATGATATATTCTGTGTATTATTGGCGATCCGGTGGTGGGAACAAGCTTCAGATGGACAGTGAGTATGCGTGCAGAGGGGTGCATGGGCAGCGATGCAAGAGGCACACAGAGGGCGAGTGGGGGCAACGAGGAGCAAACGAGCAACTAGGGTGCAGCAGTGTCTATCAACAGGGACAGCGCCAGCAGCTAGTTACTCATCGCCCGTCACCCACTACCCACGACCCATGGCACATCGCGCACACCCGTCGCCACCACCAACCATCGCCCATCATACATCACACACTCTCACCCTGACATGTGCCATGGGAGCAGGCACCACCTCCTCCACCTCATCATCTTCCTCCTCCCCTCCCCCCTCCTCCACCCCCTCCCCCTCCCCCACGGCCTGCGCGCGCACCATCACCCACTCCCTCTCCCGCCCATCAAACACCATCGATGGCCGCAGCTGCTGCCACGTCAGCTGCTTCTGCGCCATCTCCCCGTACCCTGGGGTGGGGGGCGATGGGGCGAACGAGGGGAACAGGGGGAACGGGGGAATGGTGGCGAACAAGGGGAATGAGGGGATGAGGAAAGGAGGAAGAAGGGGTGTGTGGAGCGAGGGGGGACAGCAGCAAGGAGCGGAGGGCCCACAAAGACCATTGGTCCTGCATTAGCGAGAGAGTTAAAGAGACGGGCGGCACTGACCTGGGAACTCGACAGTGGCCATGCTGGCTGCTGGATCGTCGGGCAGCGCTGTTATCACCCCCTCCCACCACCTGCCAGGGAGGGGAGGGCAGAAGGACACGACATGCAGCATTGGATAAGTGGATGGACAGGGCGTGAGTGGGGAAGCAAGGAGGTGGACGGTAGAGGGGAGAGATGGAGGGAGGTGGGGAATACAGAGAGGGCGCGAGGGACAGCAGAGGATGAGGTTGAAAGAAGAGAGCATGCAGAGGTAGGTAAACGTTACAAATTTGTTAGTGCGAGAGGTAATGACAGGAGGGAGGGAGGAACGGCATGTGAAAGTGAGAGGGACGGGAAGTGCAGCAGAAGTAACACATTCAAGGCCGAAATCACTCATCCACGCATGCAATCAAGCGTATAGCTCCCACTCACCCCCTCACTCACCCTTTCACTCATCCCAAGTTCACCCCACTCACCCCCACTCCCCCCTCATTCACCCCCCATTCCTCCCCCATTCCTCCCCCATTCCTCCCCACTCACCCGTCATCCACCCATGCATCCACATGGTCGCCCACGCTCCACCCCACCCCTCCCCCTCCCCTGCGCCTCTTCCCCCCGCCCCCCCTGCCCCTCCCCCTGCGCCCCACCGCCCCCGCCCCCGCATAGGGGGGCCTGGCAGGGCGCAGGCAGCGCTGCGGCTCTCCCCCCGGGGGGAGGTGCGGGGGAGGGGGAGGGGGAACGCCAGAAACGAGGTGGTTGGGATGGGGAGAGGCGGAGGAGGAGGGGGCGGGGGGAGGGGGCGCGGTAGAGACCCACTCCTCCAGATGGTAGGTGCCTGACGGTTGCCATGTCGGTAGCAATGGGTGGGGGTTGGGTGGGGGGGAGGGGATGAGCGAGGGCAGGGAGTTGAAGCAGGATGGTTGAGTGAAAGGAATATAAGGTGGATGAGGAAGCGGGAGAGGAGCAGATACATGCACGGAGAGAGTGATGGGGGGGAAGGGATCACGAGCAACAGGGTGAGCAGAGGGCACATTGATCCTCACCAGCGTTGCAATCACATCTCACCAGCGTTGCAATCACATCTCACCAGCGTTGCAATCACATCTCACCAGCGTTGCAATCACATCTCACCAGCGTTGCAATCACATCTCACCAGCGTTGCAATCACATCTCACCAGCGTTGCAATCACATCTCACCAGCGTTGCAATCACATCTCACCAGCGTTGCAATCACATCTCACCAGCGTTGCAATCACATCTCACCAGCGTTGCAATCACATCTCACCAGCGTTGCAATCACATCTCACCAGCGTTGCAATCACATCTCACCAGCGTTGCAATCACATCTCACCAGCGTTGCAATCACATCTCACCAGCGTTGCAATCACATCTCACCAGCGTTGCAATCACATCTCACCAGCGTTGCAATCACATCTCACCAGCGTTGCAATCACATCTCACCAGCGTTGCAATCACATCTCACCAGCGTTGCAATCACATCTCACCAGCGTTGCAATCACATCTCACCAGCGTTGCAATCACATCTCACCAGCGTTGCAATCACATCTCACCAGCGTTGCAATCACATCTCACCAGCGTTGCAATCACATCTCACCAGCGTTGCAATCACATCTCACCAGCGTTGCAATCACATCTCACCAGCGTTGCAATCACATCTCACCAGCGTTGCAATCACATCTCACCAGCGTTGCAATCACATCTCACCAGCGTTGCAATCACATCTCACCAGCGTTGCAATCACATCTCACCAGCGTTGCAATCACATCTCACCAGCGTTGCAATCACATCTCACCAGCGTTGCAATCACATCTCACCAGCGTTGCAATCACATCTCACCAGCGTTGCAATCACATCTCACCAGCGTTGCAATCACATCTCACCAGCGTTGCAATCACATCTCACCAGCGTTGCAATCACATCTCACCAGCGTTGCAATCACATCTCACCAGCGTTGCAATCACATCTCACCAGCGTTGCAATCACATCTCACCAGCGTTGCAATCACATCTCACCAGCGTTGCAATCACATCTCACCAGCGTTGCAATCACATCTCACCAGCGTTGCAATCACATCTCACCAGCGTTGCAATCACATCTCACCAGCGTTGCAATCACATCTCACCAGCGTTGCAATCACATCTCACCAGCGTTGCAATCACATCTCACCAGCGTTGCAATCACATCTCACCAGCGTTGCAATCACATCTCACCAGCGTTGCAATCACATCTCACAGCGTGCAATCACATCTCACCAGCGTTGCAATCACATCTCACCAGCGTTTGCAATCACATCTCACCCAGCATCGTCCAGCAGCTGGTCGGTATCGGACGATGTGCCCGCCCGTGCGTCGAGCTGCAGCACCGTGCCCGTGAACCAGCTGCCCCTCAGGCCCTCCTCGTTGGACGCCACCTGTGCACACCATGGCACGGACACACAGAGAGGAGGCGAGGAGACAAGGAGGCGAGGAGACAAGGAGGCGAGGAGACAAGGAGGCGGAGGAGACAAGGAGGCGAGGAGACAAGCAGCTAGAGACAAGGAGGCGAGGAGACAAGGAGGCGAAGGAGACAAGGAGGCGAGGAGACAAGGAGGCGAGGAGACAAGGAGGCGAGGAGACAAGGAGGCGAGGAGACAAGGAGGCGAGGAGACAAGGAGGCGAGGAGACAAGGAGGCGAGGAGACAAGGAGGCGAGGAGACAAGGAGGCGAGGAGACAAGGAGGCGAGGAGACAAGGACGGCGAGGGAGACAAGGAGGGCGAGGAGACAAGGGAGGCGAAGGAGACCAGGAGGCGAGGAGACAAGGAGGCGAGGAGACAAGAGGCGAGGAGACAAGGAGGCGAGGAGACAAGAGGCGAGGGACAAGGAGGCGAGGAGACAAGGAGGCGAGGAGACAAGGAGGCGAGGAGACAAGGAGGCGAGGAGACAAGGAGGCGAGGAGACAAGGAGGCGAGGAGAAAGGAGGCGAGGAGACAAGGAGGCGAGGAGACAAGGAGGCGAGGGAGACAAGGAGGCGAGGAACAAGGAGGCGAGGAGACAAGGAGGCGAGGAGACAAGGAGGCGAGGAGACAAGGAGGCGAGGAGACAAGGAGGCGAGGAGACAAGGAGGCGAGGAGACAAGGAGGCGAGGAGACAAGGAGGCGAGGAGACAAGGAGGCGAGGAGACAAGGAGGCGAGGAGACAAGGATGTGCGAGGAGACAGGAGGCGAGGGAGCCAAGGTAGGCGAGGAGACAAGGAGGCGAGGAAGACAAGGAGGCGAGGAGACAAGGAGGCGAGGAGACAAGGAGGCGAGGAGATCAGGAGGCGAGGAGACAAGGAGGCGAGGAGACAAGGAGGCGAGGAGACAAGGAGGCGAGGAGACAAGGAGGCGAGGAGACAAGGAGGCGAGGAGACAAGGAGGCGATGGAGACAAGGAGGCGAGGAGACAAGGAGGCGAGGAGACAAGGAGGCGAGGAGACAAGGAGGCGAGGAGGACAAGGAGGCGAGGATGACAAGGAGGCGAGGAGACAAGGAGGCGAGGAGACAAGGAGGCGAGGAGACAAGGAGGCGAGGAGACAAGGAGGCGAGGAGACAAGGAGGCGAGGAGACAAGGAGGCGAGGAGACAACAGACGAGGCGAGGAGACAAGGAGGCGAGGAGACAATGGAGGCGAGGGAGACAAGGAGGCGAGGAGACAAGGAGGCGAGGAGACAAGGAGGCGAGGAGACAAGGAGGCGAGGAGACAAGGCGAGGAGACAGGAGCGGAGACAAGGAGGCGAGGAGACAAGGAGGCGAGGAGACAAGGAGGCGAGGAGACAAGGAGGCGAGGAGACAAGGAGGCGAGGAGACAAGGAGGCGAGGAGACAAGGAGGCGAGGAGACAAGGAGGCGAGGAGACAAGGAGGCGAGGAGCAAGAGCGAGGAGACAAGGAGGCGAGGAGACAAGGAGGCGAGGAGACAAGGAGGCGAGGAGACAAGGAGGCGAGGAGACAAGGAGGCGAGGAGACAAGGAGGCGAGGAGACAAGGAGGCGAGGAGACAAGGAGGCGAGGAGACAAGGAGGCGAGGAGACAAGGAGGCGAGGAGACAAGGAGGCGAGGAGACAAGGAGGCGAGGAGACAAGGAGGCGAGGAGACAAGGAGGCGAGGAGACAAGGAGGCGAGGAGACAAGGAGGCGAGGAGACAAGGAGGCGAGGAGACAAGGAGGCGAGGAGACAAGGAGGCGAGGAGACAAGGAGGCGAGGAGACAAGGAGGCGAGGAGACAAGGAGGCGAGGAGACAAGGAGGCGAGGAGACAAGGAGGCGAGGAGACAAGGAGGCGAGGAGACAAGGAGGCGAGGAGACAAGGAGGCGAGGAGACAAGGAGGCGAGGAGACAAGGAGGCGAGGAGACAAGGAGGCGAGGAGACAAGGAGGCGAGGAGACCAAGGAGGCGAGGAGACAAGGAGGCGAGGAGACAAGGAGGCGAGGAGACAAGGAGGCGAGGAGACAAGGAGGCGAGGAGACAAGGAGGCGAGGAGACAAGGAGGCGAGGAGACAAGGAGGCGAGGAGACAAGGAGGCGAGGAGACAAGGAGGCGAGGAGACAAGGAGGCGAGGAGACAAGGAGGCGAGGAGACAAGGAGGCGAGGAGACAAGGAGGCGAGGAGACAAGGAGGCGAGGAGACAAGGAGGCGAGGAGACAAGGAGGCGAGGAGACAAGGAGGCGAGGAGACAAGGAGGCGAGGAGACAAGGAGGCGAGGAGACAAGGAGGCGAGGAGACAAGGAGGCGAGGAGACAAGGAGGCGAGGAGACAAGGAGGCGAGGAGACAAGGAGGCGAGGAGACAAGGAGGCGAGGAGACAAGGAGGCGAGGAGACAAGGAGGCGAGGAGACAAGGAGGCGAGGAGACAAGGAGGCGAGGAGACAAGGAGGCGAGGAGACAAGGGAGGCGAGGAGACAAGGAGGCGAGGAGACAAGGAGGCGAGGAGACAAGGAGGCGAGGAGACAAGGAGGCGAGGAGACAATGGAGGCGAGGAGACAAGGAGGCGAGGAGACAAGGAGGCGAGGAGACAAGGAGGCGAGTAGACAATGGAGGCGAGGAGACAAGGAGGGCGAGGAGACAAGGAGGCGAGGAGACAAGGAGGCGAGGAGACAAGGAGGCGAGGAGACAAGGAGGCGAGGAGACAAGGAGGCGAGGAGACAAGGAGGCGAGGAGACAAGGAGGCGAGGAGACAAGGAGGCGAGGAGACAAGGAGGCGAGTGAGACAAGGAGGCGAGGAGACAAGGAGGAGAGGAGAAAGGAGGCGAGGAGACAAGGAGGCGAGGAGACAAGGAGGCGAGGAGACAAGGAGGCGAGGAGACAAGGAGGCGAGGAGACAAGGAGGCGAGGAGACAAGGAGGCGAGGAGACAAGGGAGAAGGGGCGAGGAGACAAGGAGGCGAAGGGAGGAGACAAGGAGGCGAGGAGACAAGGAGGCGAGGAGACAAAGGAGGCGAGGAGACAAGGAGGCGAGGAGACAAGGAGGCGAGGAGACAAGGAGGCGAGGAGACAAGGAGGCGAGGAGACAAGGAGGCGAGGAGACAAGGAGGCGAGGAGACAAGGAGGCGAGGAGACAAGGAGGCGAGGAGACAAGGAGGCGAGGAGACAAGGAGGCGAGGAGACAAGGAGGCGAGGAGACAAGGAGGCGAGGAGACAAGGAGGCGAGGAGACAAGGAGGCGAGGAGACAAGGAGGCGAGGAGACAAGGAGGCGAGGAGACAAGGAGGCGAGGAGACAAGGAGGCGAGGAGACAAGGAGGCGAGGAGACAAGGAGGCGAGGAGACAAGGAGGCGAGGAGACAAGGAGGCGAGGAGACAAGGAGGCGAGGAGACAAGGAGGCGAGGAGACAAGGAGGCGAGGAGACAAGGAGGCGAGGAGACAAGGAGGCGAGGAGACAAGGAGGCGAGGAGACAAGGAGGCGAGGAGACAAGGAGGCGAGGAGACAAGGAGGCGAGGAGACAAGGAGGCGAGGAGACAAGGAGGCGAGGAGACAAGGAGGCGAGGAGACAAGGAGGCGAGGAGACAAGGAGGCGAGGAGACAAGGAGGCGAGGAGACAAGGAGGCGAGGAGACAAGGAGGCGAGGAGACAAGGAGGCGAGGAGACAAGGAGGCGAGAGACAAGGAGGCGAGGAGACAAGGAGGCGAGGAGACAAGGAGGCGAGGAGACAAGGAGGCGAGGAGACAAGGAGGCGAGGAGACAAGGAGGCGAGGAGACAAGGAGGCGAGGAGACAAGGAGGCGAGGAGACAAGGAGGCGAGGAGACAAGGAGGCGAGGAGACAAGGAGGCGAGGAGACAAGGAGGCGAGGAGACAAGGAGGCGAGGAGACAAGGAGGCGAGGAGACAAGGAGGCGAGGAGACAAGGAGGCGAGGAGACAAGGAGGCGAGGAGACAAGGAGGCGAGGAGACAAGGAGGCGAGGAGACAAGGAGGCGAGGAGACAAGGAGGCGAGGAGACAAGGAGGCGAGGAGACAAGGAGGCGAGGAGACAAGGAGGCGAGGAGACAAGGAGGCGAGGAGACAAGGAGGCGAGGAGACAAGGAGGCGAGGAGACAAGGAGGCGAGGAGACAAGGAGGCGAGGAGACAAGGAGGCGAGGAGACAAGGAGGCGAGGAGACAAGGAGGCGAGGAGACAAGGAGGCGAGAGCGAGACAAGGAGGCGAGGAGACAAGGAGGCGAGGAGACAAGGAGGCGAGGAGACAAGGAGGCGAGGAGACAAGGAGGCGAGGAGACAAGGAGGCGAGGAGACAAGGAGGCGAGGAGACAAGGAGGCGAGGAGACAAGGAGGCGAGGAGACAAGGAGGCGAGGAGACAAGGAGGCGAGGAGACAAGGAGGCGAGGAGACAAGGAGGCGAGGAGACAAGGAGGCGAGGAGACAAGGAGGCGAGGAGACAAGGAGGCGAGGAGACAAGGAGGCGAGGAGACAAGGAGGCGAGGAGACAAGGAGGCGAGGAGACAAGGAGGCGAGGAGACAAGGAGGCGAGGAGACAAGGAGGCGAGGAGACAAGGAGGCGAGGAGACAAGGAGGCGAGGAGACAAGGAGGCGAGGAGACAAGGAGGCGAGGAGACAAGGAGGCGAGGAGACAAGGAGGCGAGGAGACAAGGAGGCGAGGAGACAAGGAGGCGAGGAGACAAGGAGGCGAGGAGACAAGGAGGCGAGGAGACAAGGAGGCGAGGAGACAAGGAGGCGAGGAGACAAGGAGGCGAGGAGACAAGGAGGCGAGGAGACAAGGAGGCGAGGAGACAAGGAGGCGAGGAGACAAGGAGGCGAGGAGACAAGGAGGCGAGGAGACAAGGAGGCGAGGAGACAAGGAGGCGAGGAGACAAGGAGGCGAGGAGACAAGGAGGCGAGGAGACAAGGAGGCGAGGAGACAAGGAGGCGAGGAGACAAGGAGGCGAGGAGACAAGGAGGCGAGGAGACAAGGAGGCGAGGAGACAAGGAGGCGAGGAGACAAGGAGGCGAGGAGACAAGGAGGCGAGGAGACAAGGAGGCGAGGAGACAAGGAGGCGAGGAGACAAGGAGGCGAGGAGACAAGGAGGCGAGGAGACAAGGAGGCGAGGAGACAAGGAGGCGAGGAGACAAGGAGGCGAGGAGACAAGGAGGCGAGGAGACAAGGAGGCGAGGAGACAAGGAGGCGAGGAGACAAGGAGGCGAGGAGACAAGGAGGCGAGGAGACAAGGAGGCGAGGAGACAAGGAGGCGAGGAGACAAGGAGGCGAGGAGACAAGGAGGCGAGGAGACAAGGAGGCGAGGAGACAAGGAGGCGAGGAGACAAGGAGGCGAGGAGACAAGGAGGCGAGGAGACAAGGAGGCGAGGAGACAAGGAGGCGAGGAGACAAGGAGGCGAGGAGACAAGGAGGCGAGGAGACAAGGAGGCGAGGAGACAAGGAGGCGAGGAGACAAGGAGGCGAGGAGACAAGGAGGCGAGGAGACAAGGAGGCGAGGAGACAAGGAGGCGAGGAGACAAGGAGGCGAGGAGGACAAGGAGGCGAGGAGACAAGGAGGCGAGGAGACAAGGAGGCGAGGAGACAAGGAGGCGAGGAGACAAGGAGGCGAGGAGACAAGGAGGCGAGGAGACAAGGAGGCGAGGAGACAAGGAGGCGAGGAGACAAGGAGGCGAGGAGACAAGGAGGCGAGGAGACAAGGAGGCGAGGAGACAAGGAGGCGAGGAGACAAGGAGGCGAGGAGACAAGGAGGCGAGGAGACAAGGAGGCGAGGAGACAAGGAGGCGAGGAGACAAGGAGGCGAGGAGACAAGGAGGCGAGGAGACAAGGAGGCGAGGAGACAAGGAGGCGAGGAGACAAGGAGGCGAGGAGACAGGAGGCGAGGAGACAAGGAGGCGAGGAGACAAGGAGGCGAGGAGACAAGGAGGCGAGGAGACAAGGAGGCGAGGAGACAAGGAGGCGAGGAGACAAGGAGGCGAGGAGACAAGGAGGCGAGGAGACAAGGAGGCGAGGAGACAAGGAGGCGAGGAGACAAGGAGGCGAGGAGACAAGGAGGCGAGGAGACAAGGAGGCGAGGAGACAAGGAGGCGAGGAGACAAGGAGGCGAGGAGACAAGGAGGCGAGGAGACAAGGAGGCGAGGAGACAAGGAGGCGAGGAGACAAGGAGGCGAGGAGACAAGGAGGCGAGGAGACAAGGAGGCGAGGAGACAAGGAGGCGAGGAGACAAGGAGGCGAGGAGACAAGGAGGCGAGGAGACAAGGAGGCGAGGAGACAAGGAGGCGAGGAGACAAGGAGGCGAGGAGACAAGGAGGCGAGGAGACAAGGAGGCGAGGAGACAAGGAGGCGAGGAGACAAGGAGGCGAGGAGACAAGGAGGCGAGGAGACAAGGAGGCGAGGAGACAAGGAGGCGAGGAGACAAGGAGGCGAGGAGACAAGGAGGCGAGGAGACAAGGAGGCGAGGAGACAAGGAGGCGAGGAGACAAGGAGGCGAGGAGACAAGGAGGCGAGGGAGACAAGGAGGCGAGGAGACAAGGAGGCGAGGAGACAAGGAGGCGAGGAGACAAGGAGGCGAGGAGACAAGGAGGCGAGGAGACAAGGAGGCGAGGAGACAAGGAGGCGAGGAGACAAGGAGGCGAGGAGACAAGGAGGCGAGGAGACAAGGAGGCGAGGAGACAAGGAGGCGAGGAGACAAGGAGGCGAGGAGACAAGGAGGCGAGGAGACAAGGAGGCGAGGAGACAAGGAGGCGAGGAGACAAGGAGGCGAGGAGACAAGGAGGCGAGGAGACAAGGAGGCGAGGGAGACAAGGAGGCGAGGAGACAAGGAGGCGAGGAGACAAGGAGGCGAGGAGACAAGGAGGCGAGGAGACAAGGAGGCCGAGGAGACAAGGAGCGAGGAGACAAGGAGGCGAGGAGACAAGGAGGCGAGGAGACAGAGAGAAAAGAGGAGGAGGAGCATGCGTGTGCAGACAGACAGATGCCAGTACCGACAACTAGACATGTGGGGAGTGGGAAGGGGGTGCGTGTAGCACCATGTCGCACCGGCCTCCAATGCATCAGCTCGTTACTGAATCGCTCGCAACGACTGCCACTCACCACCAGCAGCGTGCATTGTTTTATGATTGCCATACACGATCTCTCGCAACCACTGCTGCTCACCTCCACGGGCGTGCTGCTCACCTCCACGGGCGTGCCCACGTGGAACCTGTGCGGCAGCTTCAACCCCCACACCCTCCTCTCCTCCTCCTCCTCTTCCTCCCCCTCCTCATCCTCCACCACCACTACCTCCTCCTCTTCCTCCTCCTCCCCTCCTCTGCCCTCCAGGAACCCCACAGCACGCCGCATTGTGTGTTCCAGCTCCTGCCCCTCACTCGCCCTCCCCCTCCCCCTCTTGCCCAACACACTCCCCCCCTCCTCCCCATACCCGCCCACCTCCTCCACCCCTCCATACGCCAGAAAATCGTCCCCCTCGTCTTCCTCCTCCACCTCCTCCTCTTCCTCCTCCATATCATACGCGCTGTAGTAATAGCTCCTGCCACGCCCCCCGCCCCTGCTGCCCCGGCCCCTCCCCCTCCCCCGACCCCTCCCCCTGCCCCTCCCCCAGCCCCGCGCCACACTAGCCACGGACGTCAGGGGGAGGGGGGGCTCAGGCGCCCAGGGGGACTCCGCAAAGGGAGATCCTGCGCCAGTGGCATCCTGCCACGTGGCACCTGCTCCATACCCTCCATACGCCCCATTCCCCCCATGCACGCCATACCCCCCCGTGCCCCCCATACCCCCCATGCCCCCCATGCGCCCCGTTCGCCCCCGCACCCCCCTGCTTCTCCGCCCAGGCAGCAGCCACCGCCCTCTCCTTAAACACCGTCACCGCCTCTGCTGCCGCCCGCACCGCTGCCGATGCCGCCCGGGCCACCACAGCGGCCGTCATGACCTGGGCGGCAGCCACCCCAGCATGGTCCTTCCGATCCACCAGCTCCTCCAGCTTTCCCGGCCACACTTCCGCCCATGCCACTACCGGCCGTGTGCCCATAGATGCTCCTCCCCCTGCTGCGCCCCCCCCTGCGCCCCCCGCCCTCTCCTCCCCCTCTGCGCCCATCTCCTCCCCATCGGACCCGTACGACGGGACGATTTCCACCCCCACCAGGTGCCAGCTGCGCCCGCGCCCCCTCCCCCTCCCCCGCCCGCGCCCCCTGCCGCGCCCCCTGCCCCTGCCGCGCCCGCGGATGGCAATCCCAGGGGCGTCCCACCCCTCATCGTCAAACACCCATGGCTCCCCGCTCCCCAGCGCTAACTGCCCCATGCCCCCCATGCCCCCCATGCCCATGGCCATGGCATGGGCGTCCATGGGCATGGGCATGCCATCCGCGCCCATGTGCATGGGGTATTCGCCATACCCGCTCGGCACCATCACTCCGCCCTCCCCACCCATCCCCCCTCCCATCTCCCCCATCCCATGCCCCTCAAATCCCCCGCTCCCCCCATACCCCCCGTACCCCCCGTACCCTCCCTCCCCCCTGCTTCCGCCATACCCAAACGCATGCATGCTCCCCCTCCTCCCCCTGCGCCCCCTGCCCCTCCCCCTGCCCCGCCCCCGGCCCCTCACACCATCTGGGGACACATACCCGCCGCCGCCCGCTGCCGCCCCGCCGCCGTCCAGGAGGAGGGCGGCAGGGGCGGCCTCTCTGCGGCGGCGCCAGGCGTCGGCGATCTCGAGCCAGCGGTGGTGGTCGGGCGAGGCGAGGTGCGACGGCACCGTGGCAAACACCAGCGCCCGCAGCTCCTCCTCCAATGGCTCCTTGCGACTGCCGGGAGAGATGGGAGTAGGGACATGCAGCAGTGGGGGATGGGGATGGGGAACGGGGGCAAGGGATGAGGGGAAGGAGTGGACGAGCCGAGGTGAGAGGGCACCGTGGCGAACACCAGCGCGCGCAGCTCCTCCTCCAACTGCTCCTTGCGACTGCCAACCAGACGACAGCGGGGGATGGGGGCACAGGATGCGGGCCAGGGATGTGAATATAAAAGGGCAAGACGACTTCGAGTACCCAGTGGCAGCACAGCAAGGCACCCAGGTTCAGCACCCGGTCCAGCACTCACAAGATGCGGCCGTAGAAGAGGATGTGCGCCTCGATCTGGTCCAGCAGCATGGGCAGCACCGCCACGTTCCCCACAGCGGGGCACGGTGGGGGCTGCGGCAGCTGCGACTGCACCACCACCCTCTCCGCCGCCTCTATGTGCGCCGCCACCTCCGCTGCTGCTTCTGCTGCCGCTGCCTCCGCTGCTGCTGCCGCTGCCCCTTCGGCCCCAGGTGCTTCTCCCCCTTCCCCGCCTGCTGGTGCTCCTGCTTCCGCCTGCCCTGCAACAGGCACTAGCGCGCCACCTTCTCCCCCTTCCCCTCCCGCTTCCATGTGCGCATCAGCATACTCGCCCCCTCCCCCTCCGCCTTCTCCGTGCGCGCCAAGCACTGCTGCCTCCTCCCCATGCTGTCCCTCAGAAACTGCCCCCATGCCTTGGGAATACCCCGCCGCCCCCTCTCCCTCTGCCACCGTCCCTTGCGCTTCTGCTGTTGTCGCCATTCCCCCCTCGCCTGGCGCCATTCCCTCCTCGCCTTGCACGAAGTTCTCTGCACCCATGCCACCCTCGGTCGTTCCTGTAACCACCTCTCCTTCGCCAACAGCAGCAGTGGTAACCATTTCGCCCACATCAGCCGGTGCTACAACCTGCCCCTCTGCCGTCTCAGCTCCGCCAGCTTCAACAACAGCCGCCTCCTGGCCAGGGAAAGCCGCCTCATACCCAGCTACAGCGGGCCCTTCACCATGTACGTACCCTGCTACAGCCGGTTCGGCCTGTGCTACAGCCTCGCCCTGCCAGACCTCACCTGCCTCCTGCTCAGCTACAGCTGGTTGCTGGCGCACGACAGCAGGCTCATCTGGGGTAGGTGCCATCTGCGCTTGCTCTGCTGCGTCTGCCTGCTCTGCGCTCACGTGCTCCTGCTGCTGTACACTTTCGTACTGCACTGGTTGCTCGATATAAGCCCCCTCCGGATGAGTTCCTTCCGCTGCTTCAGCCATTTCCACGTCAGCTCTCTGCTGCTCCCCCTCGACCATGCCTCCCTCCCCATAAGCACCCGCCATAGCCTGCTGCATTATATGACCATCCCCGCCCTCTCCGCCCGCCTCTTGGTATTCGCCAATAGTCTCCCGAGCCTGCTCCTCAGTCCCGACCGGCAGACTCTCAGGCTCGGCAACACCCAAACCCGAACCAGGATCGGTTTCTGGTCCGGTCCCTGGTTCGGCTTCAGCTGCTGTGCCCTCGGCTATCATAACCGCCGCCGCACCGCCTCCACCCCCACCAGCATCCATATTCAGATCAAACCCCTCGCCTTCACCTGCTTCCGCTTCAGGCACCTTTCCTTCAGTCACACCGTGATAAGTCACAGTTTCTTCGACCACTCCTTCCGGCACATCGCCTGCAGTCACACCCGCCACAGTCACAAACGGCTCATTCTCGTCGGGCGCCTGCGGCGCCAGCGTCAGCTCAGTCTCGTGCCGCGCAGCTTCGGCCGCCTCGAGCATGTCGTCGAGAAGGTTCTCCGCGTCTTCCATGCCCTCCGCTACCGCCTGTGCTGGCGCCGGCTCGCCTTCAGGCAGCGAGCCAGGCGGGAAATGCTGGCTTGGGTCATCCATTACAATTTTTCTTTTCTACCCGTTGAAAAGTTTCGACGATTGCTGGCAGAGGGTAGGCTGCGAAAGAGTGAACGTTGCAAAAATAAAAAACTACCTACTTTTTTATTGATGACGATAAGGGCTAGGGACTCGCGAGGCTGAGATTGAAGAGAGACGCAAGCACCCTGCTAAGTAGGACGTGCGCTGAACAAGCTAGACACTGGAAACGATCAGCTCTGGCCAGTTTTGCGCTCGAAGCGTTGTTATTCCTGACGCACTTCGGATATCTTTAGCCTGCGTAATGAAGACCGAGTTAGTGTACCTATTGCTACCGCTCAAATATTTTTTGTCCAACTTCGTCCTTCAATCACGCTAGTTACCGCGTAGTGGCCTGTATCCCCAAGAGCGTCAGTGGGACGCGAAACCCTAGCCTAACATTCTGACTTCTCCAGCTGTTGGTGGAAATAGAAGCCAGGAACCACGCCAACAGCAACTATGCGGGCTCGAGTCGTGTTAGAGGGGCGAAATGTTTGAGGGGCTGGGTTGGCTGCGCAGGGGACAAATCAGAAATCGAGGCCCGAATGTTGACGGCGCGTTCGAGTGTTGTGATCTAAAAACATCTGTCAACTAAGAGCCACTTTTAACGCCTGCCAAACAATTGTCAAGCGGAACAGCTGGAACAAACTGGAGAGATGTTTCAGCCAAAGTGCGACGCTTTCCTAACTACTCAAGAATTGAACCACGGAACCTTTCCTCGGGCTCAAGGTTCTTTGAATCATTGAACATTTGAAAAATGAAATTGACGAGCGGCGAAAACTGTTACACTGGTACACCTTCCGAAGGCACACTTGCGCTGGATATTACAGCTAGAAGATTTCAAAACTCAGTGTTTGGCTACATATGCAATTATACCTGCATTTCAGTACATCTATAGTCAGCTTCACAATAGGCAATCACGCAGATGGTATGCATACATATGGAACATGGGCTTCCCTAGAAGTCATTCATAAGTTACACAACCCACTGAGAGCAGCTCGTAGGAGAACCCCTTTTGACTAAGTAAACCTCTGTTCTGTTCGTATGATATATCAGGAAGCCTCCAACCTGTGAGAACTGAACACGCACTCACCCATTCGATCACTCATCTCCTCCGGGCATATTCGCAGGCTCAAAGAACGTGGGTCCTCCCTTGCTGCCCGTTCTCGCAAGGCTGTTGCTGCCCGAACCAATCGTAGGCGTGCCGCCCAGACCACTGTTCTTAAGCTCTCGGGCAGTGATGACGTAGGCCACGTCGGGGTTGCTGCCGCGCGACAGCATCATTTCCAGCAGCAGTGTGCCGCCCAGAATGCGCCGACCAATGGCGGGCATCCTGAGGCCGTCACACACAAACACCTCCAGACCTGCAGTGGCAGACAGAGGGTGAATGCGGTTGATAGGGGCGTTGGTACTAAACCACACCCAGCGGTTCCCAAGGTACAGATTGATGACTGGACAGCCCAAGAGCAGGGCTATGGGGTAGACTTGGGAGGGGAAGAGGGGAGAGGAGAGGGTGCGAGGAGCCGGGAACACACAGGTTGTCAGGTTGGCAGAAATGTAGCAAAAAACGACAAGTGCTTGGGGCGGCATCTCACCCTGGTCGGCGAAGTCATCTCGGCCGTCCACACTAATGAAGAGATCCGCGACGTGCAGATTCTCCGGCAGCACCTCCGCCTGCCCGAACGCCCTGCCACTGCTGTCACCCAGCCCCTCGGTGTCCGTGAACCCAAACAGCAGCCGCGCCGCGCGGTTCAGCGAGCTGATCCCGCCCATGTCATCCACGCCCAGAATCGCATCCCCCGTGCCCTTCAGCATCGCTCTCAGCCGCTCCTGCTCCTCGCGCTCGCGCCGTCTCTCCTGCAGCGCGCCGACGATCTGCGCGACGGTCTTAGTCATGGGCTGGATCTCCATGAGCAGCGTCTCCTCGTACCCCTCCTTGCGATTCGCCACCGCAAACATGCCCACCAGCTCGGCTCCAGAAAAGAGAGGCACTCCCAGGAAGGTGGACACGCGCTGGTGGCCGGGCGGCACGCCCACCGCTCTTGGATCGTTGGGGACGTCGTTGGAAATGACGACATCGGCCGTGGTGACGACGCGGCCAAAGAGCGTGTCCATGTTGGAAAAGACCAGGCCGGAGGGGGCGTTCTCGGCGTACCATAGGCGCAGCTCCCTCGTCCATGCGAAGTTGGTGATGCCGTGCGTCTGGACGTTGGGGAGGGAAGAGGTGGAAGGGTGGAGGCGGGAAGGGGGAGGGAGTGGGAGGAGAGGATCGAAAGGGGTGGTGAGGTGGGGTAGAGACGATTTGTTAGGCACTTCAGAAGTCGTCTCATCACAGCGGTAGATCCCGCGGCCAGGGGAGGCAGCTCCCTTCCTCCGGAACCCTTCCCACCCATTCCCCATTCCCCACTCCCCATATTTAGCTCATTGATAGCTGCTGCGCTCGTTCACGCCATCCGCCACAGCTGGAAGGGCAGCACGGGTACGAAGGTCTGCAGGTCCGCACTTGGACATGCGCCAACGTGCTGCGCCTGTCCGCACTCAGTAACCCTAAATCAGAGCAGTTACTTTATGCGCCTCACAAATTGAGTTGTGCTACCATGCTGCTCCTGTCCAACCTCACACTCACACTCACACTCGCACTCACTAACCCTAGACCAGCATCATGTACCCACTGCCTTGCGTTGCAGTCCCAGAACATGTCCAATTGCTCATCAATGAGGGTAACTACTTCTAAGTCTCTCAAGAATCAATCCCCAATCCGAGCGTGTGGGCGTGGGTACTGCCTTGAATTCCCATGCGGCAATACGGCGCCGCGGTCAACCCCCTCAGGCTTCCAGCCGCGACTCTATAATGCTTCTCGTGTCCCTTCCTCCTCGTCACAACCCACTAGCCGTGCTCCTCCTGCTCTCACCCTTAAACCCGCTCACTATAGAGCAGCACGCGCCTGCCTTCCACTGAGAATAGGTCGCTTCAACCTTTTTGAGCGCGCTCGCCACAAATCCGAGCTTGGACCTGCCCTACCCTCCCCTCCCCATCCCCCTCCTCCCGACCTGAAGGTACAAGGTGCTTTCACCCCCTCCAGCCCCTTTCCACCCGCACCTTGAGGTAGTAGGTGCCTTCGGGCTTCTTGAGTGCGCTGGCCACGAATCCGAACTTGGACTTGGTGAGATCCAGCAGCTGCGCCAGCAGGTAGTCTCCCACCTTGCTGCCGTTGGGGGACTGCGCGGAGAGAGAAGGGGGGGGGGTCGAATAGGGGGTGCGGGTAGGTGAGTGCGGAGGAGAAGGCAGCTGCGCCAGCAGGTAGTCTCCCACCTTGCTGCCGTTGGGGGACTGCGCGGAGAGAGAAGGGGGGGGGGGGTCGAATAGGGGGTGCGGGTAGGTGAGTGCGGAGGAGAAGGCAGCTGCGCCAGCAGGTAGTCTCCCACCTTGCTGCCGTTGGGGGACTGCGCGGAGAGAGAAGGGGGGGGGGTCGAATAGGGGGTGCGGGTAGGTGAGTGCGGAGGAGAAGGCAGCTGCGCCAGCAGGTAGTCTCCCACCTTGCTGCCGTTGGGGGACTGCGCGGAGAGAGAAGGGGGGGGGGGGTCGAATAGGGGGTGCGGGTAGGTGAGTGCGGAGGAGAAGGCAGCTACGCCAGCAGGTAGTCTCCCACCTTGCTGCCGTTGGGGGACTGCGTGGAGAGAGAAGGGGGGGGGGGGTCGAATAGGGGGTGCGGGTAGGTGAGTGCGGAGGAGAAGGCAGCTACGCCAGCAGGTAGTCTCCCACCTTGCTGCCGTTGGGGGACTGCGCGGAGAGAGAAGGGGGGGGGGGGTCGAATAGGGGGTGCGGGTAGGTGAGTGCGGAGGAGAAGGCAGCTGCGCCAGCAGGTAGTCTCCCACCTTGCTGCCGTTGGGGGACTGCGCGGAGAGAGAAGGGGGGGGGGTCGAATAAGGGGTGCGGGTAGGTGAGTGCGGAGGAGAAGGCAGCTGCGCCAGCAGGTAGTCGCCCACCTTGCTTGCGCGGAAAGGAGAAAGAGGGGAGGGGAAGTTGGGGGGAAAAGGGTGTGAGGAAGGTGAGAGGGGAGGGGAGGGGAAGGGAGGCAGCTGCGTCAGCAGATTGCTCCCCCTTGCTGGCCTTGCGCCACTGTTGGGAGGGAGGGGGACCCAGGGATGGGGGGGTGGGGTGAAGGGTTGGGCGTCCAGGGCGACGGAAGCGGGAATGGACGAGGGCAGCGAGGGGGGGGTGGGAGGGGGAGAGAGGTGCGCCAGGTTATGGCTCCAAAGTGAATCCTCCAACTGACTCCAAAACAGTAGCGCCAGCACGTATTGCCGCACCTCGCCGCTGATTGCGGACAACCAGGCGGAAGAGGGTCGGGCGGGGATGCGAATGGACGCGGACCAGAGGGGCGCGAGGAGGAGGGGCAGGGGGACGCGTATGGAGTTATTTTCCTCACCCTCCGCCGTGCCTGCCTTTCCCCCCTACCGTTACCTCCGACGTGATCTTTAATTTCGTTCCTAAGGCTGTCCCACGCACCAAGGTCGCCCTTTCTCCAACGCCTTACCCACTCTCTCCTCCTCCGTTTCCTTTTCCCCAGCCCCAGCCCCCAATCCTGCTTCCTGATTCCTCCCTTCCCCTCCATTCTCCCTTTTCCCCTCTGTGCCTCACGTGCTTGTTCGGTTGTGCGATTATGAGGTGCATTACTCCCACGTTCATTTATTCCCTATTGAACATTGTTTCCATGCCAGGCCCCGTCCGTCTTCCCCTCCCCCTCGCCCGCCCCGCCCCTCCGCGGCTCCCCCCCACTCCCTCCGCGCGACGCTCGCTTGGTCCATAGGGGAAGAGGCCGTGCACAGTGGTGATGATCGAGTGATCCTGCCATCCCCTTCCCCCCCAATCCGCGTCCCCTCCCCTCTCCGCCTGCCCTCCCCTTTCCGCGTGCCCTCCCCACGCATCCCCCGCCTGCTCACCTGGTCTTTGGAGAAGAGGTCGTGCGCCTTGGTGATGATGGTCAGCAGCTTGCGGTTGAGGATCTCCGACGGGCTCACGCCCATGCGCCCCACGCTCGACATCCCCGCGTTCGAAAACCCCGCGCTCGAAAACCCGCCCATCGAGAAACCCGCGTTCGAAAACCCGCTGCCTCCGCCCGCGCTCACGCCCGACGCGGCTACCATGGCGGAAGCGGAAACTCCTCCGAATCTATCCATCCCTACGCCTCCGCCGAACCCGCCGCCCATGCCGCCGCCGCCGCCGCCGCCGATCATCGACTCGACGCAGCTGTAGGCGGTGGGAGCCATGGCGGAAGCTTGCTGGATGCTTCGCGCCCCGAACGACGATCCCCCGAAGGCCCCCGCGTTGTTGCCCATGGCCGCGAGGTGCGGGCACGCCATGGGGCCCAGCTCCGAGTGCGCTCCGTGCATGCCGTGCGCGTCCGCGTGGCAGTTGGGCCCGCAACCCGCGCCGTGATTCCCGGCGGCGCCGAACACGTCGCGCGGCTGGATGTGGCCGAGTGGGCCGCTGGACGGCAGATCCGGCTCGAGCTCGCGCGCGCGCGGAAGGTTCAGCGAACGCCGCCGGGACGACGTCGACGCGCTGTCGCTGGACGTCAGCCCGTACGGCGAGCCGGTCGAGCTGGCGGCCGCGCCGCCCACGCCGCCGCCGATGCCGATACCCTCGCGCGACGACTGCGAGCGCAGCGCCGAGAGCGGCCCGAGCACGTCTTCGTTCGCGACGCCGCCGGGAGGGCCGTTGCTGCGCGCCTTGAGCTGCGCGAAGAGGCGCTGCGTGGCGGGCAGCGACACGGCGGGGGGCGCGGACGGAGACGTCTCCCCGCAGTTCTCGCACCTGGAGGGACGCGCGCGCATGGGGGCGGATGGGGGAACGGATGGGGGCGCGCATGGCGGAACGGAACGAAATGAGGGGTTGGAGAGGGACGGAGGGGCTTTGCCTAGTTAGGATGTGACTTTTGAGTCGACTCAAGTCAAACGGCTGGCTTTGTCTAGTTATTTGCCTCATGACGCCCCGGCAGGGGATGGGTGAACTTAGGGTTGGAAGAGCTTCCAGCTTCGCATTTGCTGCTGCCACACCGCATGCTTTATCAATCGCGCATGACTCGGGGAGAAGCGTGTAAGTTCCTGCTCTCACCTGCTGGAAGCCGATTCGAGCGCGTTAACTATTTCTAGCCAATCGGACTTCGCCAGCTTCACCGTCACCATTTCCGCGCCGCCCGCGCCGTTCGCGCCGGGCGGCCGGTCGTCGTCCGCGCTGTCGAGCGAGGTGCGGGACGTGCTGTGCTTCAAACCGCGCTGCTGCTGCAGGTGTTGGGGTTGGTGCTGAAGCGGGTGTTGCGGCGACGCGCTATGCATCGAGTGGTGCGGCGACTGCTGGTGGTGCGGCGACGCTTGGTGGTGCGGCGACGCTTGGTGGTGCGGCGACGCCTTGTGGTGCGGCGATGCCTGGTGGTGCTGCGACGGCGCTTGGTGCGGCGACGTGTACCCGCGATCCGGTAAACTCGAGCGGCGACCAAGTGGCGGCGGGTGGTTAGCCCATGGCGGCGCGCACGGCTGGTCGTCGTGGTGCTGGTCGCCGGGCGACCGATTGCCGGCGTGCGACGACGAGAACATGCGCTGCCATCGCTTCGCTAGCGTCGGCGCCATGTGTGCGCTAGATCATGCGACGAGGACGGGATTGGTTGAAGTAAGTCTCGTGGCTGTGCTGGCGGCGAGGATGGACTGGATACTGCGTTCGGACGGCACGAGCGTGCACAGGTAATGCAACTCCTAGATAATGCGCGTCGGAACAAACCTTTTTCTACTAAACGTCAGTGACGTGTTGGGTGGTAGAGAAAAACGAGAGACAAAAGAGGGAAACCGTACTGACGTTTCAGTTGAGGTTGAGATCTATCGTCGCGAGTCTGTGAAACCGAACGCCTGTCGTCAACCCTCAAGGAACTCACTTTTCCTCGCTGCTGTAGCTCTCTGCTCTTTCGCTCCCCAACGCACACTCTGCTGTGATCCCTTCTTCTAGGTGCCCCTTTCCCCTACACTTCAGTTCCCTCTCTGTTCTGCAAGCCTGCTGCTCTCGCATCTCCTCTCCTCTCTTCTCCATCTTGCCTCTGCCCCCCACATAATGACGGGTAACGTGCTGCCACCAGGAGATTCATTCTGCTTGTCGTTTCGCCAACTTACGAGGGTTGTCCATCCACGCGACTCGAGAATTGCTGCCCAAAAGGTCCCTTTCGGTCAGTGACACCAGGGTGGGCTGACGTGTGCGTCTGACGACGACACGGATGACAAGATGTAAGGTCAGCAGTTGCTGTTCGGGCAGCTTTCCTGACGTGATTGGTTGTGAGATTCTGTGTGTGCGTATCCGGCAGAAAATGGGGATGGGGTGGGGCGTGTGAGCCATCAGTTGTCCCTTCTATCCATGCTTAAAATCCCGGGCACTAATGGCGCGGACAAGTAGTTCACGATCATGAAGCTCGGACGATAAATGGGCTGGACATGGTTCTTTAGGATGAAATCGGATGCGAAGTGGTTCCAGGTTGAGAATGCAGAGTAACCATTCTCGGATGTTTCACCAACCGTATTCCTGCAAGTCAGGCAATGGCTTTTGGGCAGCAAAATACAGGAGTTCAATGTCTGTGCAAAGTTATGGCCCAGAAGGCTTGACGGACATATATATGGCTTGCACCAATGGCATGCGTTTCTCGACTGTCGAGCAGGGAAATGAAAGAAAGCACACCCTGAGAATTTGGGTACCCGAAAGGCCCAGACCGGATGAGGCTGGATTAAACAGTGGCTGGTATAAAAACGCGGTGAGGTTTAATCGCTGTACCTGGAAAATGTTGCTGAGTGTCAGAATCTGGATTGACACTACCGATTTTGACATGTCAAAACGATGGACGAGCCCTGAGAAAGCCATGCCAGTCATGTTATTTGAATACGGTTCAAAGCTCAGGAAGGACTTGCTGCCAGTCCATTACAAATATCGGGAGTTTAGCGCGGAAAATGGTGAAGTTTTCGGAGAACATGGGACCTCGGTCGGGACTCTCTCTGTTCAGCCTGGGATCGCGTTAAAAAAACATGCCGTGCACTGGTATTGTACTCAATTACAGCTTGTGCAACACTAGCGATCAGATAATCTGCAAACACAAAAGTGCATTTGGAACATTACCTAACACAAATGAAGGGCACATTTGCGAAGTGGTATCAGATGATGTCATTTATCATCCATTTTCCATCTGCACAGCTTGCAGCAGCACATCTGCCAACCTCTGAGCTTCCATCATAGCACCAACCACAGCCTCCCTCTCACACAGCACCGGCAGTACCGGCACCACCCATTTCAACCTCCTTTTAATCACATCCGCTACAACCTGCATGCTCCTATCATCCACCGACCCATCCTCCACCTCCTCCCTCTCCCTCTCACTCGCATTCCCCGATAGCCCCCTATCACCCCAGTAGTGATTCACACGAATGAACCCAGTATCAGCCACTATGGTCTCTCCGGAGTGCATGATAGCACGGTGGGGGGCATGGGAGAGGAACCCGAGGGCAGCCGCCGGCTGTAGCAGCAGCTTGCCCCGCAGGCGGTCATGGTGGTCGGGCGGACGGTGTGGACGGTGGATGAATCGCTCTATAGTGAGGCGCGCGGGGGCAGGGCGAAGGTAGCCTATGAAGAACTGGTTGTATAGCAGCACCTGGGGGGTGAGGAAGGAAGAGGTGGGGGGGGGGGGGGTAGGGGAGGATGGGGAGCAACAGGATAAAAAATGCAAGAGGATGGTGAAGCTGCAAACCACGAAGGGTTCTGAGATGACACGAAACTCGAGACGTGAATGCATGGGGGGTGTTGAGGCTGCACATGGTGCATGCATGTAGCACATGGTGGTGCAGGTGTGAGGGACGGTGCTTTCACCTGTGTTGCCTCATGCTGCTTCCCCTCCCCTCCCTCCTCTTCCTCTCTCCCTCTTCCTGTACCGCCAGCACCACCAGGAGCAGGGTGTTGGGCGGCGCATGGGCGGCGCAGCAGGAGGCGCGTGAGGAAGCCTGGGTGGGTGTCGGGCGGCATGAAGATGTACTCGTCCACGTCAGCAAACGCCACCCACTTGGACTCGTGGCGGTGGTGCTGGGAGGGTGGGGGAGAGAGTCAGATTGGAGAGGTGGGGGGCAGGACTGGTTAGTGGGAGGACAGGACAGCATAATTGGCTGAGTGACCAAGAAAAGCAAGAGAATCTTACATGGAGCAAGTGTGAGAGTGAAGATATTTGTTCCTTCCCCATTCCCCTCCCCCGTTTTAGTCACTCCCTCCCCCCACCTTTACCCTTTCCCCCGCGGTCCGCCCTCCTCACTTGCAGGAAGTGCGAGAGCGAGGAGTCCTGGTCAAAGTGGTAGTTGGCGCCAGCAGGGGGAGGCGCTATCTGGTGCAGGCGGTGGTACGTGAGCAGCCCTGCCCGCACGTACACCGAGAGGGCGGCCGCCTGGCTCTCTGCGTCGCTGGCAGCACAGTCGTACCAGAACACGTGCTCTGTGCCCGCGTAGCGCATGTACTCCATCCACTGCATGAGGAGAGGGTGGGTAGGAAGGAGGAAAAGGTGGAGGGGAGAGGAGAGCTAACTGATGCAGTGCAGTGGTACCAGTAGATGTGCTCTACGCCTGCATAGCGCATGTACTCCATCCACTGGTGGGGGAAAGAGTGGGTAGGGGGAGGAAGGAGGGGCACACATAAAGGCACAGTCGTACCAATACACGTGCTCCGTGCCCGCATAGCGCATGTACTCCATCCACTGCAACAAGTGGGAGAGGGGGCAGGGGGGAAGGGTGGGAGTAAGGAGGAGCGGGGTATATGGGGGAGTGGAAAATACTGATAAAACACAGTTTACACCATTTGTTACACTGGTGCCACAACGACGGCACCCAATCCAGTGGCAATGGAGTGTGCGAGGGTGGGCAACGGAAGCCCTTGTGAGACATCTTGAAAGAGCCAAGGGAGGGCGCACACCTGGAAGATGGCAAACAGCGCAGCCTGGCACCTCTCAGTGCCACTGCCAGCAGAGGGAGCAGCAGCGGCAGCACGGTTGAACGCCATGGCTGAGAGGAAGTACTTCCACTGCCGTCCCTCGCCCTCCCTGCCTCTCCCATCCCCAACCCCCCTGCCTTCCCTACTCTTTGTGCCCTTTCCTGCACTCGCCCTGCTGTTCCACATGGCGCCCCACCACCCACTCCCCCTGCTTGCTCCTGACCTCCTGCCATGCACCGCTTGCCTGCCGTGATTGCCCTGACTGCCTTCACTATTCTGACTGCTCTGTCCCAGCCCCACTGCAACCCTCCCTTCCACCCCAAGCTCAATCGCCCTTGTTGCTCCGCCTCCCCCTCCTGCTACCCCCCCTCCCCCTACCCCTCCCCCTGTGCCACCCATTCTTCTGCCAGCTTGCCCAGCCAATAGCTGTGCCGGGAGGGAGCTGTGCTGCGGCCAATGGGAAGCAGCCACGTGGGCAGGAGGTGGGAGAGCCAGGGAGGGAGCCACGTGGAGGAGGATGACTGGTGGAGGGCGAGAAGCACTCGAGCCAGCCTGGCACGGCCAGCAGCATCATATGGGTCAATGCGGTCAACTCGGTCCATGGGGTCAGTGCTGTTAACAGGGTCAACACGGTCAACGGGGTCAACGGGGTCAAGCTTGCGGCCTTGTGTAGCAGTGCTGCTGCTGCTGCTGGTTTGTGTGGTGTCATGGGCAGTGGCGTTGGGAGCAGCGCAGTGGCAGCAGAGCAGTGGGTGTGGCGGAAGGAGCGTGGGAGGGAGAGGGCGGCGAGAGAGGGGTCAGGGGCGGGGGATGGATGGGCGGACTGAGAGGCATTGGGGGCATGGGGTGCATGGGAGGCGGGGTGGGAGCAGGCGAGGGCGATGGCAAGGGCCTCTATGCTGCGCGCCATGGCTGCATGCACTCGGCTGTCACGGTCCTTCTGCTGCGGTATGGCACAGGTGGCAGCTGGGGCAGGTGTATCTGCACGCATGCAGGGAGAGGGGAGGGGGGGTGAGGGGTTGGTGAAGGTGGAGGAGAAGGGGGGGGAGGGATGGGAAGAAGGGAGAGGAGGGATGAGAGTGAGGATGGCAGGTGTAGCTAGAGCAGTGGGAGTTTAGTGACGTATTGAGAGACGAACAGAGGAAAGAGTGGACTGATGGCATGTCACCCAACGGTGCCCAGTACATGTGATGGCATGGGCACAGCATGGCAAGGTATCGCATGGCATGGCACGGCAGGGAAAGGCATGACGACATAGAGCAGCATGGGGGCGACCTTGAGGAGGCGGTGGTTGGTAGGGCTCCAGGAGGTGCTGTATGAACGAGTCCCGTGACCTGCATGGCGGAAAAGTGACCGATGGTCAGCCGAACCGAAGTGGCATGGCAACTGAAAGCCACGCGTCAAGAAAGCCTAGAGGGGTTGGGAGGGCGTGTTACACCATAGTTTTGAGGCGCCTCAAAACGGGGTGTTACACAATGCCAACTGCTCCACTCCACTGCCTCTTTTCTGCTCGCACTCGCCCTCCCGCCCCCAAACCCCCCTCCCCTCCTTCCCCCTCCCGCTCACAGTCCATCATCTCGGGGAACACTGCCCTCAGCGCGTCCGCGATTTCCGCAGCCCATTGCGCCAGCTCTGTCACATTCCGCAGCACTGCCATCTCCTGCGACTGCGACTGATCGCCATCGCCCTGCGACTGACTGCCGTCGCCCTGCGACTCCACAGCTGCCTCACGGTCACCCGAATTCCCAGGGCTGCTGACATCCCCCGCCGAGCCGCCCGCACCAGCGGCGCGGAGAAGCGGCGCGGCGGGCGGGTGGAGGCGCGCGAGGAGCGCGGCCTGCGAGAGCAGCAGCGCGACGGCCGCGCCGAGCAGGAAGGGGCGCGCGGAGAAGAGCGGGGGCGCGGATGGGGGGACGGTGCTGGCAGGGCGGGGGGACTGCGCGCGTGGCGGCATGGCGGCGGCGGATCAACGCGCGCCGGCGATGGGGACTGGCGAAAAGCGCATGGCAGCTCGTGCTGCGACGGGCGGACAACGAAGAATAGCCGCACAATCACGGGCGACGCGACTAGTGCGATGCAAAATGTGCGATGCAATCGGATGTGGCAACTAGGATGCCCGAAAGCGAGTCAGTAACTAATAGCCTAATGTGCGATCAGGGATCTGCAAGGTCACGAATCCGATCACAGTCATGAGAAGTAACGAACAAATTCACCTCTGAATGAGAATCTGTACTTTTGGTCCCCACCCCACGATTCTGCCGCTGCTGTCCGAGTGCTAACCCAATCCGTGCCTGACCCGTTGCACTTTTGCTGCGGAATCTACTTACGTAAAGCATTCTACTGTTTTCATGCGTGCCACGTGTCAGCTAGCGAGCACGCGATGACGCGTCCTCATGACATCGGGCCTGCAGCGTGCTAACAGTCATGAGAACATGGACCCATGCTGCTGCCGGGATTCCCGCCGCAAGAGCCGCCGCATTGCTCGGCGTGCTCCTGCTCCTCTCCTCCGCGCACCCGGCGCGGTCGGAGCGCCTCCTCGGGTCGCTGCTTGCGATTCGGACGTGAGTTCGCCGCGACGCGTCTCAAATGGCATACTAATAAAGACACGCCTATTCCTTCGCTCACGCGTCTCCCTCCAGAACCCGATCCGCGCATCGATATCTACGATTCCGAAGCAGATGCGATCGACGGCGCCAGTCCTCGACCTGCCACGTGGCCCGCCGGAGCTGTCGGACCCGGAGCTCCGGTGAGGTTCGGCACCGTAGCACGACGCAAGGAGTCGTGGCTCGGCAGAGCGATGGACATGGACGAGGCGTGGGCGGCGTGGGACAAGGCTGTCGGATGTGCCGCCTTCCGAACCAAGCACGCAGGTTCGGCGTCCGTAAATATCCGCGCCCATTGTCCAGCTTGGGGGATTCCCGTTGCTGCACACCGATTTCGCACGTTCCGACATGTGAACTCCATGCAGGCAGTGATTCGTCTCATGCAGAGCAGCCATTATCTCGTACTGGGCACGAAGTTACCATTCACGGCAGGCCACCAAGGTGCCATGAACTCAGATTACCACTCCCTCGCACGTGTGCTGCTGGCTGGGTGCGCCCCGCTTTGCTTCCACCTCAGATCTCATCGCCCAGTACCAGAACGACACGTGGCCCCAGAGCAGCAGCTTCCAGGATGCTTCTTCCCTGCCGTGCTCTGCTCTCAAGTTGCCTCATGTCGCCATTCAGGTGCTCTGCCACATGCAATGCATGCATGTATCCTGCCATGTGGAATCTCAAGCTACAAACATTCCACATGAATGTATGCTGTGCAGTGCCCTTTCCATGCATCCTCCAGTCCTGCATCCACATGCTTCCAAGGCTCCATTGATTTAGACTCCAGATTCTCCCCATCTCATATGCTCTTCCCGTCACACCACATCCATCATTTCGTTGTTCTCCCGCTCTGCTCATCTCCATCCATCCCTCCCCAATCCAGGTGGTTTCCTCCCCGTCAATCCCTGATTGGCTAGACGGTCTCTACACCTGCCCCTGCCACCTCTCCTGCTCCTTCTCCCGCTCCCGACCCTCTCCCCCTCCCCACACGCGCTGCTTTTCGAGGGCGAATTACCCCGAGATATTCCAAACCACCCGAGCAGCACAGGGGCGGGAGGCAGGCCCCCTAGTGGTGCAAATGGACATGGAGGGGCATGGGGCGGGGAAGGGGCGGCCAGGGCATAGTGCCGATGGTCGTCGGTAGTGGCAGCACTGGGCAGCAGCAGTTGGTAACAGTAATGGCAGTGATAGGGGGCAAGCAGGGGCAGCAGGGTTGGGGCGGACGTGATGGTGGGGTATGGAGCGGGTGCAGATGTGCAGGTGACGTATGCGGGGCAGCTGGAGCATGCCGATCGCAACCGCCAATGTGTCTTGGCGTCAAGCGAAAGGTGCGCATGGGGCCATGGCATGGGGCGTGCGTGGCATGGGGCGTGCGTGGCATGGGGCGTGCATGGCATGGGAACACGGTATGGGGTGGCATGACATGGGGGCGTATCATGGGATGGCATGGCGTCGCTTTCCTCTTGCGGGTTGCACATTTCCCTATGAAGCCTGCTCACGACACATCCTTTGTCTCATATCTCATCATCCCATCCTCCCATCATCCCAACATCCATCCTCCCATCATCCTACCATCCCATCCACCCATCATCCATCCACCCCCCAATCCCTGCGTGTCCCAGTCACCGCCTCTCATCCACGCAGCATCTCGCCCGTCCAGCTGGCGCGAGCGCATTGGAGCACTGATGAGCGCATGGCGCACAGCATAGGCAGCCGCAGCAACAACATGAAGGAGGAGGAGGCAGACGTGCTGGACACCTATAGCATGTGCCAGTACGTCCTGTATGCCCTCAGCATGTGCCTGTATGGGTTCCATTAGAGGGCTGTGTAGTGTGTGACATGCAGTGCACAGCACTGGCAGTTGCACCAGCAACAACATGCGGGAGGGAGGGAGGCACCTACAGCATGTGCCAGTAACGTGCCGTGCTTTGCACACCTACAGCATGCCTTCTGTGTAGCATGCGGCACAAAGCAGCAGTTTGTGTTTCACTAGCTGTGCTGCCCTTCGCGCTCCCTGTACGTGCTGTGTGGCAATTCAGTGTACTTTCTCCTCCCATTTCGAGTCGAATCCAAGTCCACCTCGCTTGCCGTGTTCAGATATTTCGGGGCACATGGTCAGAGGGCGAACCTGGATGGCGGGCACGCGCGCAACAAGACGGGCCAAGGTGGGAGCACGGGCACGCGCGAGGGTGAGTCTGCAGCCAGCAGCAGCAGACAGAGAGGGAGGGGGAAGGGAGCATCGGGAGGAGAGGCAGGAGGGGATGGGGGAGGAGGAGGAGGAGGAGGAGGAGGAGGTGGTGGTGATGACAAGTGGTGGTAAGGGAGGCAGCAGAGGAGGCTCGGCAGGAAGCTGAGATTGCAAGGAGGCCCATGAGAGGAATTCGCACAGGAGGGGGGGGAGTGTGGGGGAGGAGTGAGGAAGAGCTGGGAGGAGGAGGAGGATGCAGGGGTGGGGATGCGGGGCGGGGGGCACAAGGACTGGTGGGACCACTTACACTGCGTACAGTCACACTACCTGTTCAACCTCGTTATAGAGTCACGCGAGGAGCGCGGCTTCGTGACTGAGAAATTCTTCCATGCGTTAGAAGCAGGTGAGATGAGGACAGTGGAAACCTGCTGGCGAATTTCACACACA